TGCTTCGAATCCCTCATTTTTTTTGGGTCAATTCTGTCAAAATTGTTGTCTCGTAGGGATAAAGGATGATTCCCCAATAGATTTTTAGGAGTATATACAGCGTACCCTATTTTCAGAGAAACCCAAGTAGCTGGAGTCCATGAAGTGCTCAGATTGTCAGCTGCTCAGATCAACCACACTCCAGACAGTTTCTTCGAGATCCTCAGAGGCATAACAGTGGCATGTACAACACAAGTTTCAGTTTTTTCAGCAGGCCTTTTTCGAAAAAAACCAGGTTCGTGCAAAACGTAGACTGAAGTTGAACTGAATGACTATATCTCCGCTCCAAGGTAAGGGAATCAAAACTTCCATTGACATCTAAGAATGGCTTCATCAGGATCCTGCAATGACCGTCCCCGCCTGAGGTAGTTGGAAGGTTGATGGGCCAACCGTTGCTGGTCGCTCTGATCTCTTGATTGGCCTGGCGATGAAGTCAAGGCGGAAGCTGGATCAAGGCACCCCCTTCACCTACGTTACATCGTCCCTTGAAAAACTGCTTGGTCCCTAAGGTGTCCAATCATGGCACAATCCAGAGTATATTGCATAGTACAGCCCCATATACCCTCTGGTAAACGTTTACATAACTATGAAAAATCACCATTTTTCATGGGAAGGTTAGTTTACCAGAGGGTAATCAACAATCGACAGGTGGGTTGAACACTGCTAATGGTAGTGATATCCCACGCCTTTGCTGCTTGGGTCATACCAAAGTGTCACCTTCTTCTTTGCTAAACCATGTTAAGTAGTAAATTGCATTCAATCGTTTCAAGTTCAATCTGTATCTTTTCATTGAGTAGTTAAATAAATACCAGTAGTACCGCACAAGGCTGTGGCGGAAGTTTCAAAAATAGGAAACCTATAGGAGAGGTTGGGTTGTTGTGAACCACGGATGGCAGAGCGAACCCACTGATGGACCGAAAGGTGATTGGAGTTGTGTGTTTTTGGAGTGGCTGCAATGTTTGCAGTAGTTGCAGTTGTAGTTGTAGCGTAATGTAATGTAATTAGTGTAGTGTAGTGTTGTGTAATGTAATGAAATGTAGTTGTAATCTCATTTGTATTTGTAGTTGTAGCCGGAGTCTGCTGCAGTGTAATTAATGCAGTGTAGTGTAATGTGGTGCAGTTGTAATTGTAGTTGTAGCTGTGGTAGTCGTTGTTGTTGTAGTTGTCGTGTAAATAGTGTAGTGTAGTGTAATTTGATGTAATTTGCGTAGTGCAGTGCAATTAGTGTAGTGTAATGTAGCATAGTTTATTTGCATTTGTGGTTGTAGTGTAGTGTAGTTGTAGTAGTTGTTGTAGTTGTCTACCTATCTATCTATCTATCTATCTATCTATCTATCTGTTTGTCTGCCCGTCTGTCTGTCTAGCTGCAAGATTGAAAACACGGCAATTCTGCGAGACTTCCTCAGTTTTTGAACTTGGCAACATCCAAAACGAAGCAATTCTGCGAGACTTCCTCAATTTTTGAACTTGACAACATCAAAAACGAAGCAATTCTGAGCTGATGGCCTCGTGCCACAGCGTCTTGCGATTTTTCCAGTCCATGCCTCTAAAGTATTGCGCCTGCCACGAAAAATTGATGCCAGGTCATACGAAGTGCTGCGCCTGTCACACAAAATCATCTTGGCAAACCTGAAGATCTGATGCTCCGAAATTGCAACCCCTCTCAGGAAATCAGGGCCCTGACCTCCGAACATCTCCGGCGAGGTCGCCGTAGTGTTGGTGTCCCGTTGTCCGATGTGCGGCAGGATGTCTTGTCAAAATCTAAGGGTCCTCACTTGAGGAGCCCAGCATGATGTTTCAAGTTCCCTTGCTACACAAGCGACAAAACATGGCACGGGTGCCGTTGCTTGATGCAAAGTGTTAAAGAGGCGGAATATCTTACGGACATCTGGCTTTTTCACTTTTAACTGTTGCGTCCGGGTTGCGTTACACTTTTAGCTGAGCTGTCTTGGTTGTGTCCCAGTTGTGTTTCCCTTTTCGCTGGGGCGTCTTGGCTGTGTCTGGGTTGTGTCTCACTTTTCGCTGGGGGTTGTGTGTGTCTCACTTTTCGCTGGGGTGTCTGGGTTGTGTCTGGGTTGTGTCTGGGTTGTGTCTGGGTTGTGTCTGGGTTGTGTCTGGGTTGTGTCTGGGTTGTGTCTAAGTTGTGTCTACGTTGTGTCTGGGTTGTGTCAAGGTTGTGTCTCTGTTTTGTTTGGGTTGTGTAAGACTCTTCAGACTGCGGTGCCTGAAGTGTTTTAGGGCGTGGCCGGAACTGTTCTGGACGTGTTTCACTTTTTTCCTGTCTGCCAGGTGATCCGCCAGACAGCGGACACCGGACACCACGGCCTTATGGCGAGCCCGCCAGCTCTTTGCACATCCGGACCCGAACCCTATGCCAGATAACATCCTAGACACGATGTCATAATATATGTCAGAGAGGTGCCAGATATAATGCCAAATAGAATGCCAGATAAAACGCGTCAGAAAATATAGCAAACAGAGAACGTCAGATAGAATGCCAGAAAGAATTCCAGATAAAATGACAATATAAATATAGTGATATATATATATATATTATATCTTTATACCAGTACTACCGCACAAGGCGGTGGCGGAAGTTTCAAAAATAGGAAACCTATAGGAGAGATGGGTTGTTGTGAATCAGGGACGGCAGAGCGAAGCCACTGATGGACCGAAAGGTGGTTGAGGTCTCCTCTCTTTCTCTTTCTTTCTGTGACTATCTACCTACCTACCTACCTACCTAGCTAGCTAGCTAGCTAGCTAGCTATCTATCTCTCTCTCTCTCTCTTTCATCTGTCTATCAGTCTAGCTGTCTACTGTCTACCTGTCTACCTGTCTATCTGTCTATCTATCTATCTATCTATCTGTCTATCTGTCTACCTGTCTATCTGTGGTGCAGTGTCATTCCGTGTAATGTAGTGTAGTGCAGTGTAGTGGAGTGTAGTGGAATGTAGTGTAGTGTAGTGTAATGTAGTGTAGTGTAGTGTAATTTAGTGTAGTGGAGTGTAGTGGAGTGTAGCTGTGTAGTTGTGTAGTTGTAGTTGTAGTTGTAGTGTGGTGGAGTGTAGTGTAGTGTAATGTAATGTAGTGAAGTGTAGTGAAAGGTAGTGTAGTGTAGTGTAATGTAGTGTAGTGGGGTGTAGTGTAGTGTAATGTAGTGTAGTGTAGTGTAGTGTAGTGTAATTTAGTGTAGTGGAGTGTAGTGGAGTGTAATTTAGTGTAGTGGAGTGTAGTGGAGTGTGGTGGAGTGTAGCGTTGTGGAGTGTAGTGTGTGTAATGTAGTGTAGTGTAGTGGAGTGTAGTGTAGTGTAATGTAGTGTAGTGTAATGAAGCGAAGCGAAGCGACATCTGAACCTCCAAAACAAAAGTGGTCCGAACCCCTCGTGTTTTTAACATTTTGACTTCGAAATGTGCTTCGCGCCACAACTTCGTGCACTTTTTCGACATCTAAACCTCCAAAAGTGGTCCGAATCCCTAGTGTTTTTAACATTTTGACTTGGAAACGTGCTTCGCGCCACAACGGCGTGCACTTTTTCGACATCTCAACTTCCAAAAGTGGTCCGAGCATGGTGTGTTTTGTACATTTTGACTTGGAAATGTGCTTCGCGCGACAACGGCGTGCACTTTTTCGACATCTCAACTTCCAAAAGTGGTCCGACCATGGTGGTTCTTTGTACATTTTCACTTCGACATGTGCTTCGCGCCACAACGGCGTGCACTTTTTCGACATCTCAACTTCCAAAAGTGGTCCGAGCATGGTGTGTTTTGTACATTTTGACTTGGAAACGTGCTTCGCGCCACAACGGCGTGCAATTTTTCATCTCTCATCTGGCCAGCTGGCTCCGCACCCGCCGCTTTAGCAAGCCTATTTTTCGACCCTCCGGAACCACAAATCATTGGAAAAACACAGTGTGTCGCGACTTTCCTACCTTTTCGCGCATCTGCATCTTCTTTCTTCTGACTCTTTCTCGTTCTACTCTTCTCTCTTCTAATCTTTCTCTTCTCTTTGCCTCTGCCCTGCTCTGCTTTTCATCTGTCCATATTGTCGGAAGTTTGACTTCTAAACTTCCTTCGATAATATATATAATATAATAACGGTAATAGATATAGTAGTCAGTTGAGGTTTGTCAATTCCTTCTCGGAAAATCTCATTGTTCTTGATTTTCTCTTGGATCCCCCCCATCCCCCAACCCTTATCAGCCGCTGTTGCCGCTGTTGCCGCGTTGCCTCGAGAAGCGTCGCGCGGGGCGATGTGGCGCTGGAGAAGCGTTCGAACTGCATGGGAGGGGTACCTGAGGCCACTGGTATTTGCTGGCATTCGCGTTCACACAAAATTTGTTCGAATTTACTGGGAAAAGGCAATGTGACAATCCTCAGTCATGTATTAAGTCATGTACAATATGTGAAAATCGTGGGCATTTTGGGGATTCCGTGGAGTAAAAACGTTCACGGTGCTAGCATCGTGGCGAAGAAACGTAGATTGCAATGTCTTGATACCTCAGAGCAAATACTGGGCGCAGCACTGCTTCAGTTTGCTCATCGGTCCAACCTGCACCGGGAGAAGTTGCAGTGGCGACGACCATTCGAATTCAGGGGCTATCCTCTGTGGCCATGTGTTTTCATTGGGAAAATCTATGGAAATGAGGTGTTCAACATTGTTCAAGCCATTAAATTTGGGGATACCCACCTCTTCTCAGGCCCATTTGACCATTTGGTTCATGCTTGGCAACCTGGTTGTGGGGTTGCCTGTGTTGTTCCGAGTGAACCTAGTACTTATGCAAACTGGTCATATCAGAGATATCATGCTATACTGCTTGGTAAATGGGTGTGCCATAAATTATGAACATCCCCAATAAATCAAGTAGTAAAACCCCTTTATTGCCAACAGGGCTATTCTTTGTGGCTCATTTGACTTGGAACATCGTCAATAGTTTGGTGCGCGCGGCTTCACATTCGTTTTGTCACAAGCTTGACTTCCATGATCCTCCAGCTGTCTCAGGCTTGAAATCCTCAAAGCTGCCGATCACGCTGCGAAATCAAAAAAAACCGTTGGGGGGTGCTGATGGACGAAACCCGTGTGGTACTGGTATACCAATGGCAGCTTCATCATCGGCTGGGGAAAATGATAGCCGGGCTGAATTTTCTGGTACCTTTTGAGACAAACCCAAAGCAACCAAGAAAAACTTGAAAGTGAAGCCAGATCTGCAAGAAAAACATGGCTTTGAGGGCCAGACCCGCAACACAACACATCCAAAAAACTGCTAAGCAAAGGTGTGGCAGTCCGGATATTCTGCTTGCGATGGTGGACACCAGCCACGACCCCGAAAGAGTTCTTTGCCCTTCGGGTAGTCCTTGAAAGTACCGAAGTCCCTATCATGGGTGTAGCTAAGACACACCAGATCGGGAGCAGATTCTTCCGGAAGATAAGCTGGCCTGGTTTCCAAGTGAAACCCATCTTCTGCATCGAATTCTCAGATGCTTCATGTGGCCTTGACTAAAAATTCGGTATCCCAAAGCCAGTGATGAGTCATCATATTCCCCATCAAATTGCTGTTTTTGGATATGTTTGAATATGTTTTGGGTCTACGGTATACAGAATGTATACAGTATACCATAGTATACCTATCTAATTATACAATTATACCATATTATACCCCATTTTCCATCCTTTTCCGGTGATATTTACGATCCATTTTTTTCTTCACCGCCCCAACCGGCGCCATGGCGCGGCGCCTTTGATATTCTGCGCTGCCGCGGAATTCCGATGAGTGGTTCCATAGGATCAGATTCAGCCGCTCCCCCGAGGTAATATCATCTGCTCCATGTCTCTTTCGACCCAAATGAACCTCAAGTCATGATGGGAATCATGCCATTGAATGGTAACGCTTAAACTTTAAATGAAGATCAAAATCAAAATGGAACCACGAATTTTCATCACCCTATGTTGATTCATAGCCAACATCCAACATCCAACAACTATTCTAACATCCAGCAACGATGCAATGACCTTTCTGATGACGATAGGTGAAGCTGTGCTTGCGATGATCCGCTTGTCCCATGGCTCCGCAGAATTGGAGCCCGGCCCCTGCGAAGTCCAAGCCGAGGCAAATGTTGAAGGTCACATCCGAATCATCAGTGTGCATATCCAGCCCCAGGTCTTCACCTGCTCAGCGCGTTTGAAGGGCCCAGAGCTAGAAAAATAGGCTTGAAGGGCCATCATCTCCCATCATTATTAAGCTAGATTAAGTTATATTAAGTTACCCTCTGGTAAACTAACATAACTATAGAAAATCACCATTTTTAATGGGTAAATCCACTACAAATGGCCATTTTCAACAGCCATGTTAGTTTACCGGAGGGTATATCCAGTATCCAATGATTTCCCATAAATATCCCCGCATTTATCGTTCATGGGTTTCCCCACCCACCTTCTCGGTATCTCACGATGAAACAGTGATGACCATCCCAGCAACTGCCAGGCCCATGAAAGAAGCCCTCCCCTAAGGGTTGCAACAACTCCTGCAGTTTGTCGATGAAGGGTTCCAAGCCGATGTCACTCAGAATGATTCCTGGGATGGAAAGGGGGGATTTGGTTTCCCAAGAAGCTGAGGTTTGAACTTTCGTCATGACAAAAGTTTATTTTTTCTGATAGCTTCATGTCTAATGGATATTCAAGCAACCAAAAGATGGAGAAAAATACAGGGCAAGTTGTGAACGGTGATATCATGTTCCCTCATTTTCTCGTGCAAAACTGCTTCATGTTCAATGTCCGAGAGTCCATAGTTGTTCATGCTGTTGGGCCGTCGTGCAGGAAGACCCGTATCATAAAAGTTGAAGATTTCTTCCAACAAAGTTTTGCAAAATTCGTCCGTAAAAAATGGAAACGAATAGACTTCTCCAGGCACATGTTCCGTCAAGACGTCTTGCCAATCTGCAGTTCCTCCGTTCAGAAATGACCAGATCTTCCTGAACACTGGGAGCTGAGCATCTGGATACACACCATTGGTTCCCGCACTCAAATACTAGAAGAAGATCCTGTCATTGTGATTTTCGGGTAGTCTCATTCTGTGACACAGCCACATGATTGAAAGATTTATCTCAATTTATTCTTTCAGAAAGATATTTGAGTTGAAAGCCAGGCTTCTCATGAAACCATTCCTTTTTCAAGGGTGAAACCGGGTCAAAAAGTTCCGGGTGTCTCACCAGCTTGCCATATTTCTGTATGACCTCCAGCCGTTGTCCATTCAGCCTTGCGACATCGCGACACCAGGTTGTCAGCCTTTTAGCCTCAGGACTTCCCTCTGTGTACGCCAAGTACTCTGCAGGATCCAACAGGAAAAGTCGCAGACTCCTCAGCAGTTCCACCACTGGATCTCCTTTGGAAGCCACCGATGAGGCCTTAAATCTGTCCCAAAAGGCCTTGGGAGGGTGGCGATCTCTGCTGACCAGTGGGAAGGCCAACTGACCTCCCAAGCGAATGTCCGGCAGCTGGCTGGCACCGAAACGTAAACGCACACGCAACGGGAGGAAAAAGAAGGGATGCTTGGCATCACCGGAAATCAGAAGTTGCAAGTCGTAGGACTCCCAAGCTGATTCATGTCCGGTGTGCATCTCACCATCAGCATCCACGATCAGCGGACTGGGTTTCAGCTGTGAAACATTCCTGGATGATTTACAATTCTTGGATGAAGCCTTGAAAAGTATCAATGAAAACGAAACCAAGGTTAGAAAAGTTGGTGGAAATCACGCACTACTTGGAATCCACTGAAGCACTGCCACGGTTCAGAATAAAGCTTTGTTTTCGCAGCTCACTAACCACGTTTGGCAACTCCTGCGAACTGATGGGACGATGCGATGCCGGGCGATTCCGCATGAACAAGCCACCTGGGACAAGGGTAGTACACCCTGCACTCGTTGGTTGGAAATATCCTGGAGTTATCATGAGCTGTACGTATGCTGCTCGGATGTTTTGGTTGCATCATGGTACCACTACAACCATCGAGTTGACCCGGCACGTTGATCTACACACAGAGAGGTATGGCACTGGATGGCAGTTGATGCTGAGTTGTATTCCCCATTCTCGGAAAGTTCCATTCAGCTGAGAATTTCAATGATTCTCCAGTTCTCCCCTAGAAAATCCCATAATTTCTCATCATTTCTCCTACAAAAAATGCCAGAAATTGGCTAAACCCCATCCCCCACGCTATCGCCTGCAGTGGCCAGCAGTGCCTTAAAGGCCGTCACAGGTCCGGACCCGGGGCCCTTGTGTCCCTTGGTCGCCCGGACCGCCGTCCACGCAACGCTCCGCGAGGAAACGCCGCGGCTGGAAAGGCAGCCCAAGCGGCCCAGGACACGCAGCCGCGGCATGGAGGCCATGGTCAAGGCCGTCAAGGCCATGGTTCACTGGTGCTACTCACCAAATTCGCGAAACATACGTACTGTAGGTCAATTGGAGAGTTGGATTAGAAAGAAAATAGGGAGAAGTGCGAATCGCATCAATAGTGAGACCCTGCATGAATCCACATCATAATCTGATTCTATCCTCTTTGATGGACCAAATACTGTCAGCTCTGATGCAGCTCAGCCCACTCTTCAGGAGCACTGATGAGCCAAAAGGGTCCCAACCATCCAAACATTCCTGGGGGATCCGCAATGTCATAGGGATTCATACATCCTACACCCTACTGGCCTCCTGGTACAGTAGACAATGTTTCCAAGCTGGTTACACCACTCATGCAGCAGTTGATTTGCCAGGAACTCCGATGAGGTTGCGACAAAAGGGTTTATTTGAATATAACATTCCTGAGCTGTGCCGCAAAAATTCAAAGAGTTTCGCTTCAGAATTCAAAACTGGTCGACTCATGCAAGGCTATAAAAATGTCCATGCCTCTGAATCAAAAAATCACCACCTGGAGCCACAAAAAAATGGTTGAACCATTGAATTGTATTGAGTTTACCTCATAAGGACAGAAAAAACCCAGAAAAACCGCAGCCAAAGATTCATACAGACCTCCTGAGACGTCAAATGCAACGAACAATTCACTGGCTTTGCTTTCTTTTTCCCCACCTGCCAGGTGAGGGTTGTTAGATTTTATGTCAGTTGCCTCCTCCTCCTTCTCCTCCTCCTCCTCCTTCTCCTCCTCCTCCTCCGCCTCCTCTCCTCCTCCTCCTCGTCCTCCTCGTCGTCCTCGTCGTCCTCGTCGTCCTCGTCGTGCTTGCTCAACTGCGACCCGCGATCCACAGTGTTCTCTGCCGGACCTCAACCACGACCATCCACGCCCAGTGTTCCCTGCCGGACCTCGACCACGACCATCCACGCCCAATGTTCCCTGCCGGACCTCAACCACGACCATCCTCGCCCAGTGTTCCCTGCCGGACCTCAACCACGACCATCCACGCCCAGTGTTCCCCGCCGGACCTCAACCACGACCATCCACGCCCAGTGTTCCCTGCCGGACCTCAACCACGACCATCCACGCCCAGTGTTCCCTGCCGGACCTCAACCACGACCATAGAATGTCAGAAAGAATGTCAGAAGATATGCCAGAAGATAGATGCCAGAAGATATGCCAGATAGAATGCCAGAATATGCCAGAAGATATGCCAGATAGAATGCCAGATAGAATGCCAGAAAATATGCCAGAAGATATGCCAGATAGATATGCCAGAAGATATGCCAGAAGATATGCCAGATAGAATGCCAGATAGAATGCCAGAAGATATGTCAGAATATATGCCAGAAGATAGAATGCCAGATAGAATGCCAGAAGATATGTCAGATAGAATGCCAGAAGATATGCCAGATAGAATGCCAGAAGATATGCCAGATAGAATGCCAGAAGATATGCCAGAAGATATGCCAGATCATATGCCAGAAGATATGCCAGATAGAATGCCAAATAGAATGTCAGAAGATATGTCAGATAGAATGCCAGAAGATTTGCCAGTAAGAAAATGTATAAATGTCATGGTGGGGATCACACGAAGTAAAGTAATTTCTTTAATCCACAGGAAACCATACTGTACTACTTGGTGGTTTCAACCCCTCTGAAAAATATGAGTTCGTCAGTTGGGATTATGAAATTCCCAATATATGGAAAGTCATAAAATTCCCAAACCACCAACCAGCATAGTTTTTACCATGAAATGAATCTAGGGTTTATCCTGCAAGTTGTCTCTTCAACCGACCCCTCGGAGCCTCGCCTTCCATAGGACACCTGTCATGGCCGCATCAGGTCGAGAACATCCTATGCTGGGGATGTGGCATTATGCCCGTATCCCTGTATTTATGCAATATTAGTCGACTCCATTGAACGGCCAAAAACCGAATATCATATGATCATATATGATCTATGTGTTCATCAATGATTTCATCATGCCGCCAAAAAATAAAAAACGTGAAAAAAAAAACATAATTAGAGACGCATACTTCACACTAAAATCTGGAGAAAAAAAAACGAAAATCCAGCCCCAGTCCCTGGCCGCCTCTGTGAGCTGGACAGCCTCCAGCTTTGTGGGTCGTTCAGCAAGTCGTACAAATCCTTCACCTGGGAGATGGAGCCTGATGGATCTTGATGGAGCCTGGGGCCAAACTGCAAAGAAAACCAGTTTCAGTATGGCCAGATTATCCCCCACTGGTTAATAGTGGTTAATAGTGGTTAATAGTGGTTAATAATGGTTAATATATAATGGTAAACTGCTTGGTGGTTTCAACCTACCCCTCTGAAAAATGATGGAGTTGGTCAAATGGGATGATTATTCCATTCCATTCCCAACTGTTTCTGGAAAGTCATTCAAAATTCCATGGTTCCAGTCACCACCTTCTCAATATATTAATATATGGAAAGTCATTCAAAATTCCATGGTTCCAGTCACCACCAAGCAGCCCATGATATTCCCATGATTTCCCATGTTTCCACATTCTGTCACCATAGGCCGCTGAAATCTCCCAACGAAGCCTCCACCATTGGTACCATTGGTTGCTGGCGCAAGCTCCTAGTGACAGGTTCACATCCCTGGAACCTGCCTTCCACCAGCACCATCAGAAACATACCCTGTTAACATGGGGATGGGTCAAAACCCTGGTACCTAGTGAACCCCAAAATAGCTGGGATTTATGGATGTTCATCCCACTAAGAATGGTATTAATAGGTATTGACCCATACCCATGTGGAAACACACCATTTGTAGATCATTTTCCAAGTTTACCCAGAGTAACAATAGTCCTGATCTGGATGATCAGCATTCCCAATCGCCCTCATTAATCCTGACCACACGACCAACAAAATGACCTCATTTTTCTCGAGTCTAATCTGTTCCCCTTTATTCGAAAGGGACTCCCAAAAATGAAGAGATCCAATACTAAACCATGAGTTTTCTCGGGTTGTCCATAATATCAGGGGGAAGGCTTCAACTGTTATTACTCCTGATCATCTGTTTGCGCCAGCTTCTCTGAACCATGACCGCCTGCAAAAACACAGATCGCAGAAAGCTGATCTGCGGAGTCTTCAAACACAGTTCTCTATCTCAGGGAAAAAACGACAAGAAATACCTGAATACCTGACAGCTCCAGTTCATTCCAAGTGTCTGAAGGTTCCAACATGTTCCAACCATCCATTTTGTTGATATCCCATTGCATCCCAATCAAAAATCTCTCATCTTTGGTCAATTTTGCCAAGTCTCGAGCCTCCAAATTCGGTGACCTGGAGAAAGTTGCTGAATGCTTCACTGACTCCCATCGGTCCTTGCGAAACAAGGCTCGTGCCCCTGGTGATGTTTCTTGGTCAAAGCGTCCGACTGCATAGCAACCCCCAAGTCATAGGAAAGTCGATCGGAACGTCGGCAATTTGGATATGGGGTTTCCAGACTGAAAACACCGGATGTGTTTATCTTTTTGGGGACCTTCTAGATATATCATGATGTTTTTCTATAAGCCATACGGGGCACCACTTGTAGGATATGTAAAAAAAAACACCATGATTGGATCCAGGACTAGTTTGGTAGCCCCAAAAAGACACCTTCTGAGTGCATCGGTACATCCTGTAGATATTAGCGATACCACAAGTTCAAACCACTTGGTCCCTTCAGAAAACATCATGGCACGTCATTTTGCTTGTTGTGGTCCATTCAAAAGGGCGGAGGATCGTGGGGTCTTCATACATCCATGGGTTCAAAAGGAGGATCTCCAGTGCCTCGCACGGAGCCGGCTGATGTGCCGTTTCGCGCATCTCCATAGCTTTCCTGGATGTAGGGATGATGAATGTTGACCGGAGATCTACTAATGGATAGTAATTCACCATGAAAAATGGATTCTGAATGGTTGACTATTAATGGTTGAATATGGATTGTTCATGGTTGACTATTAATCCACTATGAATAGTTGAATACTAGAGAATATATCAATGAAGTGATATCGTTTATGAAGGAAAACATCCATGATTTAAAAATATACCATTGTTCGGTGAATAGTCAATTTTCCATCGTAGTTGTTTATCGTTGTCATTATGGATTCTCCTGGTTGATTCATGTTGAATAATCATGGACTAATGGGATGAACGAATTAATGATTAATAACTGGTTGGTGGTTTCAACCTACCCCTCTGAAAAATATGACTTCGTCAGTTGGGATTATGAAACTCCCAATATATGGAAAGTCATTCAAAATTCCATGGTTCCAGTCACCACCAACCAGTAATCATTATAATGGATTTATGTTGAGTTATGTTGATTAATAACCATGGCTAATAGTGCTCCATTTCATCCACTGAATCCACACGTTTTTGATCGGCCTCCGAGACGGGGACTGTGCTGCCACCTGATGACGTGGCTCCTAACTCATGGGCGTTTTAAACGCCATGGTGCCCCAAATCCACTGGCTGATCATGTAATTTTACCTCTTGAGGTTCAAACAAAACCTGATGATGTGTTTTTTTGTATACATGTATGTGTATATATATATATACATACATGTATAATCATATATATATATATACATATATATAAACGAAGGTATCCTGACACACACACACACAAGTAGATTTGATCATGGTCCAGGCCCCATTCGCATTCTGTACTGCTCAGCCATGGTCTGTGTCTGGCTGGCCTTCCGTTCATTGAACGAGTCATCCTCTGCGTTGGACGCGCTTACGGCTGACCGTCACAGTTGAAGGGTTGGGAAAACGCATACTACCATGATTTAACGGGAATACTACGGGAAAACAATAGGGATAATGGAATATGAGTGATTAATGGGTTATTAATGAAAATCTAAGCCTCTGGAAAAAAATAATGGGTTATTTGCGATTAATGGAATATTATTGTCTAACCCTCTGGTGTCAAACATAGCTGGAAAATCCCCGCACTAGCGAGGTTTTCGCTGGGAAAATCGCAGAACTGCTGGGGAATTCTCCATGTGACTGATTACCAGAGGGTACCAATAGAGGAACAAAGACATACTGGTTGGTGGTGCAATAACCATCTTGACAAATATGAATGTCAATGGGAAGGATTATACCATATATGAAAATGGAAAATAAAAAATGTTTGAAACCACCAACCTGCATATAATGTGGTAAAAACAACAATGGATTACCCATTTGGGAATTGTTTATACCACCTATAAAAATGGTGATGACTGGGGGATTGTTTATTGTTGTTTTAACCACATTGATGGTGAAATATGGTTATATAAATAGAATAAATATTGGAATATGGGTACCAATTCAAATAATGATTCTTATGTATCATGATGGCTTCTCCAAAAGGTCAAAGCACACAATCCAACATCTTTGAAAAGCGGGCCTTGGAACCGCGAAGATTTCGTTTCTTCCATCCTTTGAGCTCCTAAGGCGACGGCTTTGAGGACCGATCTTAAATGATTCCAGATGGAGCTTTCGTCATGGTACCCTCAACTCAAACTCATCTAAGTCAGACAACATGTATTGAAAGCCATGGGGGGTCCATGGCGAAACCCCCATAGAAACCCAAATATCCAGAGAGTCTACACCATGTCATCTCCTTAGGTTCTCCCATGACGTCATCGCCATCCCCGTTGACACCAGTGCCCTCCTGTCTCGGTCTGACGTCCTTGAGCTCAGTCCGTTTCGGCGACCCTGCGAATATCAGTGGCTTGGTGTGGCAAGGCTTTTCTGTTCGGAGAAAAGTGATCAGAACCAACCAGGGAACAGCTCAAACATGCTCAAACAACTTGAAATACAACGACCACACTGACACTATTTCTGTGGAGTGCAAGGTGGCGCTAAGAAGTAAGCTGCATGTTGCACAGTGCGCACCAGTAACGTCTCGTTGTCGTGGCTGATCCGAAGCTTCCTTTGCTTTCCCGGCCTTGGAAAAGCGGCCAGAAATTCCCAACTGCCCTTGAAGCTCACTTCTGCTGACCTTCCACCACCATCTCGTTTCCACGTTTACAGGTTGCCATTGAAAATGGCCATGCCTTGGTAAATCATGGACTTTCATGGCGCATTTTCCATGGCTAGTTGTGTGAAATGATCAGAGCCTCTAGTGGTTCATGTCATGTTCAACCTGTGGTAAATGATGGTAAATTGGAAATCCCCCGGTGTCCTCAAACGCGGCTTAGGCTGGAAATTCCTCCATTTGGTTAGTTGATCTTCCTATTAAACCATCCATTGTTAGTTGATTCTCCTATTAAATCTGGTTGGTGGTTTCAATCCCTCTGAAAAATATTAGTCGGTTGGGATGATTATTCCCAATATATGGACAAATAAAATTCATGTTCCAAACCACCAACCAGAAATCATCCATTTAGTTCGTCGATTTTGCTAGCTGTAACTCCATTTCTAGGGGAGTTTCCAGCCGCCACACTGATGAGTGATCCCCAGCCTCTGCGCGACTGAACCGCGGAGCTGGCACCACTGCTCCCTGACATGGCTCAGGTGACGCTTGGAACTTCTCGGAAGTTCAACCGCCCAAAAAGGTCCTCGTTCCGACATGTTTTTGAAGCGCAGTGAATGCCGTCTGAATTTCTTGCACTGCCCCAAGAATTCCCCAGATACCATCTGGTCAACGTTAACATAACTAAAACAAAATCACCATATTTAATGGGTAAATTCACTATTTCTATGGCCATGGTCAATCGCTTTGTTAGTTTACCAGAGGGTAAATGTTCCTTTCGCTTGGAAGTTCTCGGAATAATAAAATCATCCACCAGAGTGATCCCCGGTCACTCGGTCACGCCTCTGCACCTTGGAAATCACGGGCCCAGGATGGAGCAGTTCTGATTCTGTGGAATGGTTGTGTTCAAGAGAAAACTATAGTCACTAAAAAGTGTATAGCAATCCCTATAAAAATAGAAAACTGATTGATGTATATATATATATTATGTATATTATATGTATATATATATCACTACTTTAGTGGAATTCTACCGAAACCTATCTCTTTACAGGTTCCTATACACTTCGACAGCCAATGACCGGGGCAAAGTTTGGATCATAATTTCCATTGTGAACAGCATCAACTGCCATAGTGATCTTCCTCAGATAAATCACATACCCTCTGGTGATTTAACAGTTTGCTATTGAAAGATCACCAGTAAAATCATGGGCAATCACAATCACTCGCACAAAAATCCATCAAAAATGCCAAGTTCAAGGTCTAATCATATGCGCCTGGTCGAGCTTTGCCAGTGAGCCTCAGAGATACATCCCCGAATAATGGCCATTCAGAGGAAAAATGCTGAGAATCCTTGGGTTCAGTGGGAGTTTGACCTGAATTTCTCAAACCCCGGTTGGAGATCATTCAAGACACCTCCGAAAATTTGGTGGTTCAACAGTTTAACCATGTTTAACAGCTAAAGATTGTGGTTCGATTTAGCTACCTATTCAACTATTTAAAAGAGTGATTCAACAGCCAAAACGTGCTGCCGGATGCTCGAAGCGTACAGTTTCACTCGATGCAACACTGAGTTTGGACTTGGGCACTTGGGTGACTTTCATGGGTAATGGGACTTTAACCCCAGTCAGGATATAGTCAGGATATGGGGGGAGAATATAAGATAATATAAGATCATATAAGTATACAGTACAGCCGTACAGCTATATGGCAGTGTGTCAAAACCAATAGTACCCCTTCTGTTCACATCAAAATAGCTGGGATTTATGGATGTTCATTCCCCTAAAAATGGTATGTATAGGTATTGATCCATAGCCATATAACAAATAATAGCATTCTGCCTCCAGTTCAACTGCATCCGAGCCACGCTCTCCTGTGTCTTCGCGACACCGCATCGATCATACCTCGAAGCTGAGAGCTTGACGGAGCTACCAGGATGACAGGCGACAAGTCGGCTCGCAACGCATGGCATGAAAAGATGCAGGTTGAATGCATTTAGACTCATTTATATAGATTATATAGATGCATATAGATGATGCATGTAGATGCATATAGATGCATTTAGATGATTTTAGATGCATCAAATGATCATATCAATACTCTGCAAATACCAAGCAAAAACTGCCTCCTGTTCCGGCCCCAAAACATCCTCTCGGCGTCCTCACGTTGTCTGTGCACCAGCTCCTGGCCCAGGGTCGAAAACTCGGTCGTGCCATGACGAACCTATTGGATCCCATTGACCTTTTTTTCTCACCGAAGAAAGATTCCCATCACCTTTGAATCTCCAGATTCAACCAATGGACCAATGGTGTGTTGCGAAACTTCTCCATCAATATCACCAATCGCCCCCTGTTTCGATCACCTGCCGAAGTTTGGAGAAATTGCTTCGGGCTTCGAAGGTGCTAAAGGCCTCGGTGTAGCTGGAACATCCTCTATCAATGGGGGTTTAGTATGTTTTAGTGGGAAAATCCTGTAAAAAAAATTGGATTTTCCATTGCTATGGTGGAATACCAGAGGGAAAATCATTCCAAGATTCAGGATATGGGTGAAATATGATCTTTATTCTACTTAGGAGTTGGGTTTCATTGGGTTTCTACAGTTGTACCCGAGGATGAGAAACACGAGCTGAACTTACGGACCAACTGGTGACAAGGTGCCGGTCACCCTGGCCGAGTTTGTCATGTTTTCAGCGCTTAGCAGTGCTTAGCCGCACGGGCCCTCAGGCACCAAAGTGTTGAGGTTCCGTCAACGATCACTAGCCGCTAGCCACTGGTATCATCCGGCACCATACCTTTGGAAGGTGCGGCATAGAGCAAATATTAATTGTAAAGCAAAATACATGAGCAGCTATGATCAGAGTTCATTGGTTCGGTCTGAGCGGTGTTCTTTCAAGAGTTCTGCACCCGCCATGATCCACATGGACAGCTGGTGTGCACAATCTGCATCAGCTTGGTGCTTGTCTGGATGATACTTCTTCAACAACTTCCTCTTGGCCTTGATCACCTTGGATTTGCCCATAGAGAGGCTTAAAAAAACATGAAAAAATCTTCCTGATTCCCTCAGCCTAGTGGATTTCCCGTTGGGATTTGTGCAAATATGTGCAAACCATCGAATCCAGGGTACGTCAGTTGCATTGAACTTCTTGGAAAGCTGGAAGAAACGACGCCACTCCTCGAGATGCTTCACTCGACGCCAGCCTTCTGGTGAACTGAGAATCTGGAAGTCTTCGATCAATTTGTGGTTCCGGAGCTCAGGAAACTGATCCATGCAGGTTGATTCTCCAAGTCTTGGACGTTGGATTCCTAAACACTGCTGCCCTTGGTGGATTCGGAAATCCATCAAGCTCCTCCATTCATGGAGTCCCGTGTCAGCCGGGTTCATCTTCGCTGCTCGGAGATAGTTGTCAAGGGCCTCTTCGCATAAGCCATCCTTGAGAAGCCTATCTCCTCGCTCTAGAGTGTCCCAGGGGTCCAGAGTGGTAAAAGCTCTCATCTCTTTGGCGAAGGCAACGATGGCATGCAACAGGCTTGGCTCTTCGTACGACCCAGTCGGCATCTCCATGTAAGGCTCTGCAGTCCACTTCAGCGAAAAGCAGCTCTCATCCTTACCATCTCCAGAGGCCTTGAAATATTTCACCTCAGTAAAGTTCGGATGTGATTTGACCCATTTTTTGAGGTGGCATACCTTTCCAAGGTCCGAGAAATCAGGACCTCGCAACTCTTTCCAGCTCACCAAACCATAAGATTTGCCTCGTGGTAGCATATGGCGCCCTAGAACTCCACTCTTCGTTCTCAAGCGTAGGCCCACATAATCATCTCCAAGCTGAGGAATGCGGCCATCATCGTCCCATGGAAAGGTCGCCTTCTCTAGACAGGACTTGGAGGAATCCACTTTTTCATCCCACTCTCGATAGCCAATGATTTCGCTGAGGGGCAGTTTCCAGTGGTTACAAGGCCGGCTGCGAACTACCAAATGTGAGCTCGTCAGAAAGAGAAACTGACTAGGCTCAGGCTGCTTTCTGAGTTTACCTTCCCCAAGAGATTCGAGGCCTAGGCGACCAAACTCAAAAACCATGCCACCCAATGGAAAGAGGTAGAAAGGCTCTCCAAAATGAGCACCCAAATGGTTGTGGCACCAGCTGCGCAAACTACCTTTCCACAGTTTGCCCAAGGAAACAAAGGATGACATCAAATAGTCAAGCGGTCCAAATCCCCTGGATCCATCAACAAAAAGAATCACATCTTTCGGATCAAGCTTTAGACCGTATTCCTCCACTGCTTGAGGGAGCCAGCCATGGGCTTCAGCAAGGGGGAACAAAGTTCGACCAACGGCTCGATGCGATCGAAGTTCGGGCAGTTTCAACAATGACTCATGCAGGTAGTAGTGGGTAGAAAAGTAACTGCTGAATGGCATCCATTGAAACAGCTTCATCATCTCCGAGTGGAAAGGGAAACCAGCCGCGCCTGTTTCTTGCACAGCTTTTCGAAATGCCTCGACTGTTCCCTGAGCGAGATGAGTTGTATCTCCCACGACAGAGCAAGCAAACATCGCACCAACAAGCCAGCACATTGCTGCCCGCTGCGTCTTCATGGCGAAATTCCGTTCCAAACCGCTCAATGCTGCCTCCGTGAGCCAAAAAACACTGCAAAGCGCCGGTATCAAACACCTCCAGGGAGCTGCGGGGATGTCCCAGCACCACTACGGTGGATGGGCCAGCGAAATCCTGCACCACCAATTTGGGATGGTTGAAACCTGTTGAAACCCTATAAATAATGGGATGTTTACCACCAACCCTATATAAATAATGGGATAAACCTTTACCACCTATCAACTGGTGCTTCGGATTTCGCTATATTTCGCTGGCCCATCCACAGTATCTTTCAGAACACCACAGAGTCCCAGAGTCCACCCCCCACGAAACATCTGAGGGATGGACCGAGCGGACTGAATCCATTGCGGCAGAGGAGTTCTGCTCGGAAAACTCCAGCTCCTGAGGGTCGGGGGTCGCATTGCTGGGGTGATCTCTGTTGATGGATGATTTCTAGATTCTAGATGAATTTGAAAACATAGTAACCCCATAAACCATCATAAACCGCTCTATGTTTGTAGATGTTTGCAAGATTCTACTGGATTTTAGACGCTTCTTATCTGTTCTGGGGATTGCTATGTTCATTGGGTCACTGGTTTCCACCACCCCGTCAATCTCGATCTACGGCATACTTCGCTTCCTGGCCTCCATGCTGCAGCTTGCATCACCCACCTGACCGTGGCCAGGAAATCCCAACCGGACTCTGGTTGAAACATGTTGAAACATCCTGAGTTCTGAGTTCCAGACTCGGCTGCAAGGCGAACCTGATCACAGCCACGGCTATCCCCGGGAGGTGGAGATTCCACCTCCCACCGACCATGGTCCGTGGGGACCATGGTATTCCTCCTCCACGAGGAGTCGAAACCAAACATGTCAGCTTCACAGTGATGCAAATGGCTCACTTCTTCCGCTGTGTTGGTAGAGGTCAGCCTCGAAAAACCTGGAGATTTTGGGGATTCCCAATCGGTCGACTTCTTCAAATGACCATCTGGGGCCTGACCATCTGCCAGTTCGACATGGAAAGATCCACCATGCTATGAAGAACGGTAAGCCATCTATACCATGGCTATGCTATATATATATATGTGTGTAAGAGCTGGGCAAACCGTTTGCAGGTTGATACTTTACATATCTTTACATGGCTATGTTAGTCATAACCAGAGGGTACATCTAGATATTCCCATGGATATTCCCATTGTCGGAAAAATGCAAACCGTGAAGCCAGGTTATCCTATTGCTATCAGACAGCCTCCATGGTCCTCCTCTAGGCTTACCACATCCTGGCCAGACAGCAGACCCTATGGAGAAAGATCTAGGAAACCCATGGGGAAAGCCCCAGAAGACCATTCCCAAATGAGAAAACCCATGGATTTTCGTAGCGTCAGCGACGCGTTGGCTTGTTGGAGTGCATAAGTTCCAAGTTCTAACCGAATAAGTTGAGAATAGTTGGTGTGTATGTATATATATAATTATATATATATATGATTATATATATATATGTGTGTGTGATGCACTCATAATTCATATAATTGTGTATAGGATACCAACTTATTTACTACTCCGGTCGAACCACACCTACTCGTTGTGGAAAAACCGTCCCCATTTGGGGATGACTGGGTGAAACCCCACGTGGGGAACCCATGATCTTCCCAGCTATTACCCGACCTGGTAAACATACAAAAAGCTATGGAAAATGGATGAAAATGGCCCATTGAAATAGATGGTTGACCGTTCTGACAAAAATGGTGATGTTCTTTTTCGCTATGTAACAAATTACCAGATGGTAATTTCCATTTTGTGCGGGGAGTGTCCCATAGTTTATGTTCCTATGACTTTCTCAGCGAACTAAACCTCCATGACTAGGCCACAGGTTTGCCATGTGACTGGTGACTGAGGGGTATCCAAATACAACACGCCAGCCCAATTTGGCAAGAAAAAAAAGTCCGCCGCTTTGCCTTATCTTCTAAATTCGCAACCCCCAATTATGTAATGGTTGTGTAATGGATCTCTAATGGATATGTTCGACACTCACAGCATCTCACAGATTCCCAAGTGTTGGCGGCCTCAGACTGTCTGCGCAACTTGGGAAACTCCATACCTCCCGCAATTGGAACATGCAACTGATGCCTGTTGCCTGCATCCATGGGCTATTCATTCCAGGTAATTCTAGATACCCTGCGAAAAACAGCATCTGTTTAGCTTGTTAGGTCCTTATGTGCAAAAGCTTAACTAGCCATGTACGGTTTGACACTCATATTTGGGAGGTTTCATTGGCCGTTGAACCACACCTGAACATGACTGCTTGCAGATTCTTGGATGCTCGCCCCACCGAAGATGGTACAGTACAATGGCCTATATATATATATATATGTATTATGTATATATATATATATATACATACATCTATATATATATATAATTATATATATACATACATGTATAATTATACATGTAGAACTCGCTATGATCGCCAAATATAATCCATGAATCCATTGACAAGTACAGTCAGTGAACTCGCTGTGACCCAGTTTGATTCCACCCAAAATCGTGCCGTTTTGGGTTAGACCTGAGATCAGCTATTGGACCAATACTGGTGCTTGGTACTTTTCACAATGGTTAACGATGGTTAACTCACCATTATTCACCATTAACCATCCATTAACCATTGTTAACCATTGTTAACCATTGTTAACCATTGTTAACCATTGTTAACCATTGTTAACCATTGTTAACCATTGTTAACCATTGTTAACCATTGTTAACCATTGTTAACCAGTGTTAACCATTGTTAACCATTGTTAACCATTGTTAACCGTTGTTAACCGTTGTTAACCATTGTTAACCATTGTTAACCATTGTTAACCATTGTTAACCATTGTTAACCATTGTTAACCACCATTGTTAACCATTGTTAACCATTGTTAACCATTGTTAACCATTGTTAACCATTGTTAACCATTGTTAACCATTGTTAACCATTGTTAATTGTTGTTAACCATTTAACCACCATTAACCATTGTTGTTAATTGTTGTTAACCATTGTTCCAACATTGTGAACCATTGTCAACCTTGTCAACCATTGTCAACCATTGTCAACCATTGTCAACCATTGTCAACCATTGTCAACCATTTGTCAACCATTGTCAACCATTGTCAACCATGTCAACCATTGTTAACCATTGTTATTGTTAACCATTGTTAACCATTGTTAATTGTTAATGTCCCATTTAAAACCAACCATTGTTAACCATTGTCAACCATTGTTAACCATTGTTAACCATTGTTAACCATTGTTAACCATTGTTAACCATTGTTAACCATTGTTAACCATTGTTAACCATTGTTAACCATATAATACCATATAATACCATGGCTTCCTCAGTTCTTCATGGCGCCCTTTTGAAGAAGGCATTCACGATGAAGCTACGCGCAGCACGCAAGCGCCTGCACCTTGGGTGAACAGGCCCGAACTCGAAACGGCGAAACGCGGCGCACGCGGCACTCGCTTAACGGGCTCTGGAGGGATCTTGATGCATTGCCTTGAAGGACTACATAAGCTGATCATGAAGAATAGATATGATATGCTAGCTATAATATATATATATATGTATAATTACACTATATATATAATTTATATGTACTCTGCATAAATATGTATACGTATATATATATACACGCTAAATGTATACTATATATAATATATATATATATATGTATACTAAAACTATACTATATACATATATTGTTTCTATATGCCTGGTGTCGATATACCATATATATACACAGTATGTGTGTATATATATATATGCACCTAAACATGAATTTCTGGAGGTGTTTCTTCCGACAGATGGCTCCACAAGCCCGTTGGGTTGCCGTTGCAACACGTCTTATTGGATGGTTCAATATGACAAGTCCAAGAAGGCTACAGTATCACCCTTCGAACATTACCAGCTCAGGCAAACCAATGCAGATTGATAAATGGGGAAGTGGTGTACTACCATTAAGTTTTCATTCTAACCCTTCCGAATGTATTGCCTGCATCCCAACACAAGACAGTGCAGTGAAACTTTGTCAGTGCACTCTTAGCAGCTTAGCACTCTGTACATGGAACTTCATCCCAGTCAGAAACTGATACCCAGACAACACTGGCATAACTAGTTGTAACCCATCTAGGGGAATTTCCAACCAGGTGCGTTCACTTCGCATTCGGCCTCCCTTTAGGAGTGTTGGCCATGCCATTGGATTGTCGGAGGCTTAAATTTCTGCTTGGTTTTCGGGATTCACATCGTGGATGATTTGTTTATTCCCAGTTTTATGTAAATTAGATGGTATGTGATAGTGTAATGTAGTAATGATGATAATCACCAATAAACAACAGCATTAGTAGCATAACTTTTTTAGAAACTATAAGAGCCCCCGAGCCCCGAATCATCAACCAGCACTTTTCGACGAAAAAAGAACAGTTCTCAAATCCGCTCCACTCCAAAACCATCCTCCTCGGGACTTCCGCAGCACAGCTGAACCTAAGAGTCGAGCTGATCAGCCGGCGCTGCCGGGGGGAGAAAATCCCAGCCGCCATGTGACAAAGCCCAGGGGGTGAACTTCCGAAACATCCTTGAAAAAAAGTCACATGCTGGTTGGTGGTTGAGCCTACCCCTCTGAAAAATGATGGAGTCAGTTGGGATGGTTATTCCATGTTATTCCATTCCCAATATGATGGGAAAGTCACTCGTAAAATTCCATGGTTCCAGTCACCACCAACCAGTAAATGATCATTGATCATCCCATTTTCTATGGTTAAAAAAAAAACATGTATTCCCATGTATTATCCTATAATATACCATCCCAAAAAAGCCCAAAAACCTGAAAAAACCCACCAGCAGTGGCAGTTGCAGTTGATGTCCCTGAGACTTCGGGGAAACTGCGGAAACACAAAGCGGATCCACGGCCTGGATCTTATGGGCTCTTGGACCCTGGAACCTCCTGGCCATGGCGATGGCCATGGATGGCCATGGATGGCCATGGATGGCCATGGATGGCCATGGATGGCCATGGATGGCCACAGCTTTTATACCATCAATGGGGATAAACAATGGGAATACCCTCTGGTAATGACTGACATAGCCATTGAAAATGGCCATTTATAGCGGATTTCCCATTAAAAATGATGATTTTCCATAGTTATGTTAGTTTACCAGAGGGTAATGGGGATAAGACAATAATAAACCACCTATTTATGTGAACTAATGGTGATAAGACAATAATAAACCACCTATTTCAGAATTTATACCACCTATTATATGATTTTTTATTCATCCTGCGAACAGGACCATTTCAATACAGGTGCGTTGACCAATCTGAAGAATTCTGTATGCCATGTCTCAAAGGTCTTAAATGAAATGACAGACATTCGATTCGATCCATGCGTCTATTGAGTCTATTGTACATCAATCATGGCCCTCGTTCAGATTGACGATAGTTCAGTCACTCCTTGGTTGCAGACGTTTCTTGATGCCTTCTGGTAATCAAAGAATGGCAGAGGAAAATCCACCATTTGTATATAATTCCCCCATTTAAATGTCCATTTATTTATACAGTGGATCTTTCCATTGCCATGTTACCAGATGGTCAGAAAACATGGAAAACATGGCCCATCAGGATGCAACAAGATCTTTGTGGGGAAATCCTCAGCACTTCCTAAATGCTTGGTGGTGTCATATGGATTTCTCTGGAAAGAGGGAAAACCCTAGGTTAAACGTTTACATAACCATGGAAAATCACCATGCCATTTATGGGTAAATCCACTATTTCTATGGCCATTTTCAATAGCTATGTTAATTTACCAGAGGGTAATTGTTGGTCCCCCCATAAACATTGCCCATTTGTGCTATCCCCCAATTTCAGATAAACCCAAATCTGATGTATTTAGCTTAATATATCATATATCCCTATATATCCCAATTCACATCCCGTAAAACCCATTACTTAGCGATTTCTCAGAAAGACCATGACAAATGTATACAAAGGTCATCGTGTTGGTTGTAAATCTTACTAACACCCATCATATCCCCATGTGTTGGTTATGAATCTTACTAGCACCCAGAATATTTTTGTGTGTTGGTTAGAAATCTTACTAACACCCACTATATACGCATCATATCCCTATGTGTTGGTTATAAATCTTACCAACACCCATCATATCCCCATCATATACCCATCATATCCCCATGTGTTGGTTATAAATCTTACAAACACCCATCATATCCCCATGTGTTGGTTATAAATCTTACTAACACCCATCATATCCCCATGTGTTGGTTATGAATCTTACTAACACCCATCATATACCCATCATATCTCTATGTGTTGGTTACAAATCTTACGAACACCCATCATATACCCATGTGCTTGTTATAAATCCCACAAACACCCCTCATATCCCCATGTGTTGGTTATAAAGCTTACAAACACCCATCATATCCCCATGTGCTGGTTATAAATCTTACAAACACCCATCATATCCCCATGTGTTGGTTTTGAATCTTACAAACACCCATCATATACCCATGTGTTGGTTATAAATCTTACAAGCACCCATCATATACCCATCATATCCCCATGTGTTGGTTATAAATCTTGCAAACACCCATCATATCCCCATGTGTTGCTTATAGCCCAATGTGTTGGTTTTCAATCTTACAAACACCCATCATATACCCATCATATCCCTATGTGCTCGTTATAAATCTTACTCACACCCATCATGTCCCCGTGTGTTGGCTATAAATCTTACTAACACCCATCATTCAACCATCATGTTCTCGTGTGTTGCCTATAAATCTTACTAACACCCATCATATACCCATCATATCCCTATGTGTTGGTTATAAATCTTACAAACACCCATCATATCCCCGTGTGTCTATTATAAGTCTTACAAACACCCATCATATCCCCATGTGTTGGTTGTAAATCTTACAAACACCCATCATATCCCCATGTGTTGGTTATAAATCTTACAAACACCCAACATATCCCCATGTGTTGCTTTTACATCTTACTAACACCCATCATATCCCTATGTGTTGGTTATAAATCTTACAAACACCCATCATATCCCCATGTGTTGGTTTTAAATTTTACAAACGCCCATCATATCCCCATGTGTTAGTTATAAATCTTACAAACACCCATCATATCCCCATGTGTTGGTTATAAATCTTACAAACACCCATCATATACCCATCATATCCCCATGTGTTGCTTATAAATCTTACAAACACCCATCATATCCCAATGTGTTGGTTGTAAATCTTACAAACACCCATCATATCCCAATGTGTTGGTTTTGAATCTTACAAACACCCATCATATCCCCATGTGTTGGTTATAAATCTTACTAACACCCATCATATCCCCATGTGTTGGTTATAAATCGTACAAACACCCATCATATCCCCATGTGTTGGTTATAAATCGTACAAACACCCATCATATCCCCATGTGTTGGTTGTAAATCTTACAAACACCCAACATATCCCCATGTGTTGGTTATAAATCTTACAAACACCCATCATATCCCCATGTGTTGGTTATAAATCTTACAAACACACAACATATACCCATCATATCCCTATGTGTTGGTTGCAAATCTTACAAACACCCATCATATCCCCATGTGTTGGTTTTGAATCTTACAAACACCCATCATATCCCCATGTGTGGGTTATAAATCTTACTAACACCCATCATATCCCCATGTGTTGGTTATAAATCTTACAAACACCCATCATATCCCCATGTGTTGGTTCTAGATCTTACAAACACCCATCATATCCCCATTTGTTGGCTATGAATTTTACTAACACCGATCATATCCCCATGTGGTGGTTATAAATCTTACTAACACCCATCATATCCCCATGTGTTGGTTATAAATCTTACAAACACCCATCATATACCCATCATATCCCTATGTGTTGGCTATAAATCTTGCAAACACCCATCATATCCCCATGTGTTGGTTATAAATCTTACAAACACCCATCATATCCCCATGTGTTGGTTATAAATCTTACAAACACCCATCATATCCCCATGTGTTGGTTATAAATCTTATAAACACCCATCATATCCCCATGTGTTGGTTATAAATCTTACAAACACCCATCATATCCCCATGTGTTGGTTATAAATCTTACTAACACCCATCATATCCCCATGTGGTGGTTTTGAATCTTACAACCACCCATCATATCCCCATGTGCTGGTTATAAATCTTACAAACACCCATCATATCCCCATTTGTTGGTTATGAATTTTACTAACACCGATCATATCCCCATGTGGTGTTTATAAATCTTACTAGCACCCATCATATACCCATCATATCCCTATGTGTTGGCTATAAATCTTGCAAACACCCATCATATCCCTATGTGTTGGCTATAAATCTTGCAAACACCCATCATATCCCCATGTGTTGGTTATAAATCTTACAAACACCCATCATATCCCCATGTGTTGGATATAAATTTTACAAACACCCATCATATCCCCATGTGTTGGTTGTAAATCTTACAAACACCCTTCATATCCCCATGTGTTGGTTACAAATCTTACAAACACCCATCATATCCCCATGTGTTGGTTATAAATCTTACAACCACCCATCATATCCCCATGTGTTGGTTATAAATCCTACAAACACCCATCATATCCCCCTGTGTTGGTTATAAATCTTACAAACACCCATCATACCCCCATGTGTTTGTTATAAATCTTACAAACACCCATCATGTCCCCATGTGTTGGTTGTAAATCTTACTAACACCCATCATATCCCCATGTGTTGGTTGTAAATCTTACAAACACCCATCATATCCCCATGTGTTGCTTATAAATCTTACAAACACCCATCATATCCCCATGTGTTGGTTGTAAATCTTACAAACACCCATCATATCCCCATGTGTTGGTTATAAATCTTACAAACACCCATCATATCCCCATGTGTTGGTTGTAAATCTTACGAACACCCATCATATCCCCATGTGTTGGTTGTAAATCTTACCAACACCCATCATATCCCCATGTGTTGGTTGTAAATCTTACAAACACCCATCATATTCCCATGTGTTGGTTGTAAATCTTACTAACACCCATCATATTCCCATGTGTTGGTTGTAAATCTTACTAACACCCATCATATCCCCATGTGTTGGTTGTAAATCTTACTAACACCCATCATATCCCCATGTGTTGGTTGTAAATCTTACTAACACCCATCATATCCCCATGTGTTGGTTGTAAATCTTACGAACACCCATCATATCCCCATGTGTTGGTTGTAAATCTTACAAACACCCATCTATCCCCAGTGTTGCTTATAAATATTAATAAACACCCATCACTCCCATGTGGGGTTCCCCCTAAAATCTTACAAACACCCACATATCCCAGTGTTGGTTGTAAATCTTACCATAACACCTCATCTATTATTCCCCCTCTGGTTGGTTGTAAATCTTACAAACACCCATCATATCCCCATGTGTTGGTTGTAAATCTTATGAATCTTACTAACACCCATCATATCCCCATGTGTTGGTTGTAAATCTTACTAACACCCATCATATCCCCATGTGTTGGTTGTAAATCTTACAAACACCCATCATATCCCCATGTGTTGGTTGTAAATCTTACTAACACCCATCATATCCCCATGTGTTGGTTGTAAATCTTACTAACACCCATCATGTCCCCATGTGTTGGTTGTAAATCTTACTAACACCCATCATATCCCCATGTGTTGGTTGTAAATCTTACTAACACCCATCATAACCCCATGTGTTGGTTGTAAATCTTACTAACACCCATCATATCCCCATGTGTTGGTTGTAAATCTTACTAACACCCATCATATCCCCATGTGTTGGTTACAAATCTTACAAACACCCATGATATCCCCATGTGTTGGTTACAAATCTTACAACCACCCATCATATCCCCATGTGTTGGTTGTAAATCTTACAAACACCCATCATATCCCCATGTGTTGGTTGTAAATCTTACTAACACCCATCATATCCCAATGTGTTGGTTGTAAATCTTACAAACACCCATCATATCCCAATGTGTTGGTTGTAAATCTTACAAACACCCATCATATCCCCATGTGTTGGTTGTAAATCTTACTAACACCCATCATATCCCCATGTGTTGGTTGTAAATCTTACTAACACCCATCATATCCCCATGTGTTGTTGTAAATCTTACTAACACCCATCATATCCCCCATTTTTGTTGTAAATCTTCCTAACAGCCCATCATAGATCCCCATGTGTTGGTTGTAAATCTTACAAACACCCCATCATAAATCCCCCCAATGTTTTTGGTTCCAAATCTTATCAAACACCCAAAAATTTTATCATATCCCACGTGTTGGTTATAAATCTTACAAACACCCGCATAAATCCCCATGTGTTGGTTGTAATCTTAACGAACACCCCATCATAATAATCCGCCATTTGTTGGTTGTAAATCTTACCACAAACCCATCAGATCCCGCCCATGTGTTGGTTGTAATCTTACAAACACCCATCATATCCCCATGTGTTGGTTGTAAATCTTACAAACACCCATCATATCCCCATGTGTTGGATATGAATCTTACTAACACCCATCATATCCCCATGTGTTGGTTGTAAATCTTACAAACACCCATCATATCCCCATGTGTTGGTTGTAAATCTTACAAACACCCATCATATCCCCATGTGTTGGATATGAATCTTACTAACACCCATCATATCCCCATGTGTTGGTTGTAAATCTTACAAACACCCATCATATCCCCATGTGTTGGTTGTAAATCTTACAAACACCCATCATATCACCATGTGTTGGTTGTAAATCTTACAAACACCCATCATATCCCCATGTGTTGCTTATAAATCTTACTAACACCCATCATATCCCCATGTGTTGGTTGTAAATCTTACAAACACCCATCATATCCCCATGTGTTGGTTGTAAATCTTACAAACACCCATCATATCCCCATGTGTTGCTTATAAATCTTACTAACACCCATCATATCCCCATGTGTTGGTTGTAAATCTTACTAACACCCATCATATCCCCATGTGTTGGTTGTAAATCTTACTAACACCCATCATATCCCCATGTGTTGGTTGTAAATCTTACTAACACCCATCATATCCCCATGTGTTGGTTGTAAATCTTACGAACACCCATCATATCCCCATGTGTTGGTTGTAAATCTTACAAACACCCATCATATCCCCATGTGTTGGTTGTAAATCTTACAAACACCCAAATCTTACAAACACCCATCATATCCCCATGTGTTGGTTGTAAATCTTACAAACACCCATCATATCCCCATGTGTTGGTTGTAAATCTTACAAACACCCATCATATCCCCATGTGTTGGTTGTAAATCTTACAAACACCCATCATATCCCCTTATCATATCCCCATGTGTTGGTTGTAAATCTTACTAACACCCATCATATCCCCATGTGTTGGTTATAAATCTACTAACACCCATCATATCCCCATGTGTTGGTTATAAATCGTTACTTACAACACCCATCATATCCCCATGTGTTGGTTGTAAATCTTACAAACACCCATCATATCCCCATGTGTTGGTTATAAATCTTACTAACACCCATCATATCCCCATGTGTTGGTTTAAATCTTACTAACACCCATCATATCCCATGTGTTGGTTGTAAATCTTACTAACACCCATCATATCCCCATGTGTTGGTTGTAAATCTTACAAACACCCATCATATCCCCATGTGTTGGTTATAAATCTTACTAACACCCATCATATCCCCATGTGTTGGTTATAAATCTTACAAACACCCATCATATCCCCATGTGTTGGTTATAAATCTTACAAACACCCATCATATCCCCATGTGTTGGTTATAATAAATCTTACTAACACCCATCATATCCCCATGTGTTGGTTATAAATCTTACAAACACCCATCATATCCCCATGTGTTGGTTATAAATCTTACTAACACCCATCATATCCCCATGTGTTGGTTGTAAATCTTACAAACACCCATCATATCCCCATGTGTTGGTTATACATCTTACTAACACCCATCATATCCCCATGTTGTTGGTTGTAAATCTTACAAACACCCATCATATCCCCATGTGTTGGTTATAAATCTTACAAACACCCATCATATCCCCATGTGTTGGTTATAAATCTTACTAACACCCATCATATCCCCATGTGTTGGTTGTAAATCTTACAAACACCCATCATATACCCATCATATACCCATCATATCCCTATGTGTTGGCTATAAATCTTGCAAACACCCATCATATCCCCATGTGTTGGTTATAAATCTTACTAACACCCATCATATCCCCATGTGTTGGTTGTAAATCTTACAAACACCCATCATATCCCCATTATCCATGCTTGGTTTGATGTTCCCATTTGTCGGCCTTTCAATCGGCCTTTCTTTCCCACCGTTCATCTCAGTCACCATTTCCTGACGTGTCTGCGGCTGCGGATGTCCATGCCAAATACATCTACCCTCTGGTTATGACTAACAGTTAGCCATGGGAAATGGCCCATTTATAGAGGTTTACCTAGCTATAAAATGGTGATTTTCCAAAAGGCCATGTTAGTCATAACCAGATGGTAACCCTAAAAAGAATAGAAAAAGGTGGACTTAAGACTTATATTTGGGTCATTATTGACTTATCCTACCCAAATAGTGATCAAATATATTTATAATAACTAATAACCCTAACAGGTTTGATCACTATTTGGGTAGGATTTTACGGTTTCTATCTTTTTGGAGGTTGCTATGGATGTGTAGCAAGTTTCTTGGCAATCCTAGGGCAAACTGCAAGAGTAGGTGCCCGACCATGGCGACAATGTTGCGGTTGTTGTCACAGTTCTTTGGGGAAAGGAAAAAAAACATTGTTCGGATTGAATTTTCAACAATCCATGTAAAATCCATTCACTATAGATATATTTACTATATTTACTTTGGACATAGCGGTGATATACTTATTTCAGATATATCATTAATTGTAGTTCTGCTTCAACTATGATAAACGCCCTTTCCAAACGATCCACAACGCCCTTCATGGTCCCCTCTGACGATTCACCAGTGAGGTCACTGGTTGGTGGTTGAGCCCTAGCTTCTGAAAAATGATGGAGTGATGGGAAAAATAAAATTCATGTTCCAAACCACCAACCAGTCTATATATATATATACATAGTTATAGATATAATATCCCATTATATTCCCATTCTATATATATATATGATGACTCTAGTAACGGGAACACATATTGTAAATAAGATATGTTATACCACTCACATACATATTCCCAATATAGATCTTGAGTATATTCCCACTATATACCATTCTAGTACACCGTCATTGTCATCTTGGGTATACCATTATGATTCATGCCTATGATAATATTAATCATAATACTACATTCCCAGAAGAATAATCTATCATAATAGTATTATGATGCTATATGGAGTGTTCCTGAAATAGATCATACCCCTAGAAAGAAATCATCCATTCTATGGTTTTTCTCCATGAAATAAAACATCCAGCTATGGTTTTCCCAATGGAAACCCATTGAAACAACGCCTTGGCGAAGCTCGTTCTGAGGCTGTCCACTGTGGCCTTGCGGATACCCAGGGGATGTCATGGGATATCCTTCAGGATGGCATGGGGTGAGTTGCTCAACCCTTTTTTCAGGGAAGATCTGAATTGATGTCTGGTTGGTGGTGCAATAACCATCTTGAAAAATCATGGACTTCGAAAAAACCATGGGGAGATCATGAAAATGGGATATTTTCATGGTTAATGATCTTAATATCTGGTTGGTGCTACACCTACCCCTCTGAAAAATATTAAAGTCGGTTGGGATGATTATCCCATATATCATGGAAAGTCATAAAATTCATGTTCCAGTTCGCACCAACCAGGATGTGAATTCTTGGTGAATTCTAGATGGTTTTTGAAGGATTTTTTTATAGAATATTCCATGGATATAATATGGCACATCAATTCTACATAACATGCTAGTGGGATATCCTCACCTTGCGGAAGATTTATGGCATTGGTGCCAGGGTCACCCTGGGCCAATCCTGGAGGCATGGTCCTGAAACGGAGGTAATGGGAAAATCATGGCAAAGTCACGGAAAAATAGGGAAAATCGCCGTAAATGGAGGCTTATAGCTGGCAAAACCATCTATTTTTCTTGGGAGATGTTCCAGCAAGCAAAGCTACAAGTGAAAACGCAAGTGTTCTCAGTGGAAAACATTATACATATATATATATATATCCCATTAAATCCCATACACTGGCGGCTTCATCCCCAGAGAAGCCCTAGACTTAAGGCAGGTAACCGCATCCAAAAGACCATTGGATTGCAGTGTCGCCACCTGTCGCATGGGGGCGATGGATTTACCTCAGCCACAAACCTTTGACGTTGGGGTGTGCTTCATGCCTTAACAGTTAAGACAAGGATCCTTGAAAAATTTCACCTGTGCCTTATTTGCTGCGATATCTAGTGAATCTTGGGCTGGGTACCGAGAGCGGCGGTGATATGAAGTTCACACTTATCACGATTCAATGTGGTGATTGTTCATAAAACATCATGAAAAACAGCAGTTATCACCATGGGTTAGCCCGCAGTTCCGTCCTGCGTGACATATTGTGACATTGGAAAAGGATGGAAAAGGTGTAATGATGATACCTGAGCACGCACTTACCTGCAAGCCTATCAATCTTCTGAAAATTGATACCCTCTGGTAATTTGTTACGTAGCTATTGAAAATGGCCCAGTCGAAATAGTGGATTTTCCCATTAAAAATGGTGGATCTTTCCAGTTCGCTATGTTAGTCATTACCCGAGGGTATTAGTTACCACCGTTGACGTTGCCGCCTTGCTTTCGAACGTGGTCAATGTCGAGATCAGCTCGGTAAGCAATGGCTGAGTGGCTGCCTTGGCCGGGCCATGCCAAGCCATGGGTTTTTTTTTGGTGAAACTACAGCAGGGCTCGGGTTTGATGACCGAAAATGAGAAAATGATCAATGATTATAATATGTTTTATAAATATAACATAATATCAATAATAAAACATGTTAATATCACATAATATATGCCGATATTGGCATGACATTCTCACCCCATGTTTGGATTCACTGAGTAGAAGTAACCCAATTTTGAGTCCATGGTTACTTACAGCATTATCCCCATGAAAAAACTGCCGTGGTGATACCCCTTTTCCAGACACACTCAAATTGACATGTTTGGTTGGTATACCGTGCATATGTCATTGCACATATTCAAATATATCCCCATGAATATGCCATTAAATCATATTAAATCATGGTAAACCCTCATGTTCAATAGTTATAATATGTTATAATTACAATTGTTATAGTGAGCATCAATCACCGAAAGTACCAAAAAAAAGCTCAAAGTGGTTGGATGGTCGAGGTACATGGAAGGCTGGCAGGCAGGCATTGGCCACTTCCTTCGGGTCAAAGTCCTTCCAGGGTCGTCCGAGGAAAGGACAAAAAAAATCAGGAGCTTACCAAATCTGGTAATTTGTTACATAGCTATTGAAAATGGCCATTTATAGTTGATTTTCCCATTAAAAATGGTGATTTTCCATAGCTATGTTAGTTTACCAGAGGGTACCAAATCTGGTCAATCGTGTCCTTTCAAGAAAAATAGAAAAGGGCCGATTCCGTGAATCATGATGATAAGCTACCTATTGGTTGCTGAATGGAGGGAACCTTCTGCCTATAAGTGGAGGTGTTAATGGGAGAATCATCTATAAATAGTGGATTTTCCAACCATGTTTGATTGCCGGAGGGTAGGGAGCTTCCCAAATCTGGTTGTTTGGATCCCACTATTTTTGGCAGAATTTACCACTATATATTTACCACATTTTACCACTATATCATCCTGGAAAACCATAAAGACTAAATTTTCTGTCCGTACGGGTTTGGACATTTTTTGGTCTGTTGCGTGTTTTTTCCAAATACGGCCATGTCCGGCTGCAAACCCTCTACTTACGGGTTAATTTAGTTAATAGTTTTCCTGAACTCTTGGATTTGTCGGACTGGTTCCGACAGTATGAGTGTCTCGTCTAGAGACAGTATTTGGGGCAGTATGTTGACATTTGCTTACTGTTTTTTTTCAACATGATGTTGAAAAAATACTGGTATTTTATGGTACATCCAAATTTGGTGGGAAATATGGCAGTATTTGTGGCCAGATTTGGGTGCCCGATCACGGCTCCCAATTTGCTCCACTTTGGACTGAAATTCCTCTCTTGGAAACTGTCGGAGGATGTCCGAACACGGTGTTGTCAAAGGATTTGAACAACCCTTCACAATCAAAAACCAAAATACGCAATTGAACAAACAAAACGTCCGTTACGGGTAAAACCCATCATGGACAAAAAAAAATGTCCATACGGTTTTCCAGGATGATATATAGTTGAATATCACCGGAAGATCATGATATGTGGGTGTGTCTGAAACTGGGGCTCTCCAAATGGCTGAAAGATTGGGATGGCTAAACCTAGCCGCTATGCCACTTATGGCTAGCCTCATCCGTCAGGGGGAATCAGGTCACTGGATGAAAGGAAAACCAGGTCATCGTCAGTCCACCATTCGGTGGCTCCAGCTATGGCTTATCTGGTTGGTGGTTGACCTACCCCTCTGAGAAATGATGGAGTGAGTGAAAGTAGTTGGGATGATGACTGACATATACCCAACTGTTTCTGGAAGACATTCAAAATTCCCATGGTTCCAGTCACCACCAACCAGTTATGATTACCATCTGGTTATTTAACAGTTCGCCATGGAAAATCCCCATGCTATTCAGTTCGGTAAACCATCTATTTCGATTAGGGCCATCGAAAAACCATGGCAAAGTGTTAGTCACAACCAGAGGGTATATCCCATTAATATCCCATTGAATCACTATAAATTCCCATTAATATCCACTATAAATGGACATTTATGGTGGTGATGCAAAAACGATCCAGCCAGGTCCTGCGAGGCGCCGCTATCCTGAGAAAAACCACACGGACGACATAGCGACAACGGAAGAATCGGACCGAACTCAAGGGACGTTTAGAAAAAAAACGGTAAAAAATCCCTGGTAAACCTACAAAAAACTATGGAAAATCACCATAGAAATAGTGAAATGTCCAATGAAAAATGGTGATTTTCCATAGTTATGTTGGTTTACCAGAGGGTAAAATCCCTGGTAAAATCCATCAATGCCATCCCATGGCGACTGCTTTGGTGCATTCCCTTTCACATTCTGCTGTGGCTGTTTAACCATCCCAAATCCAAATGAAAAACGATCAGTTGACATGTTGAATGAACTGTTGAATTTCACAACACCAAGCAGCAAAAATGGTCACATCACATCAACACCACCGTGCAGTCCTGGCCCTCCAGAACCTGCTGTGTCGCCTCGATTCGGTCTCCAATGTGTCCATAGCGAACTGGAAGTCATGGCCCATGGCTACTTCAATGATTTACCGTTCTTCAAAATGGTCATGTTCCAGTTCGCTATGTTATACCAGAGGGTAGTCATGGTAATCACAAGCTACAAAACATTCGATCAAGCTCACCATCCCAAATTCGGTTCCAGACTTTCTGTCGCTTGTCCTGCAACGATGCTGTCGGATGCCCCGCTGGTGTCTGTTTCAAAATGTTGGTGTCTCTGGAATCGGTCAATTTGTGGTCAGTCGTAAAGAACGACATCTCACAACCAGAAATCCAGATCAATTTAATTTTTGAGATGGTAATATGTAATGTCAATGGATTGGTTTAAAGATTGCTTTCCAGGAACCCCCCCGATTTTTAGCACGGGAGGAAAACATCCCGTGATGTGCACGGTCCTCCTGGAACAAGGTCCGCATCAGATACCCGGCCTGATCCGTCGGAGGCCGTTGAAATTCAGTTTTTGACCTCACGGAAATTGCTGGGTGAACAGCCGCACTTCGACCGACCTGCTCGTGCTTCATCTGAGGAAAGGCCTCGGAAAGCTGGGGAGAGTTGAAACCAAGTCACATCAACTGAAAGAAAAATGTTGACATCCAATAAAAATGGGGGCAACCCAGTGCCATAAACAAGTATACCATTTGGCGATGGTTTATACAACACATAAAATGGTGACTTGGGCATGGTTTCTGGCCACAGCCAGGTGCTGACTGGGCTGACTGGGCTTCGGACGGCTTGAAGAGACGTAACGGTCACCACCTGGACTTGGAGGGTTCCCGGTCATAGCTACCCCATCCAGTCGTCATGGATGACCATAGTATTGAAACAACCGGGGTGACAACTGGGGATTTCCCCATTTGAAGAAACCCCACAATGCAATCTGTAGAAAAGTCTAGTAACGTCTGTCAAAGGTAGCATCCGTCAAGACTCTTGGTGTAGAGAGGTTCAAAAATCAAGACCAGTGCAACAGCAATTACAAAGTGTGTAATTTCATCAAGATTGGCTTGAGATTTGTCTTCCCAAATTCATCTCAAGAATTTGCAGCTCAAAATCTACAATCACCACTGAACTCTGGCCAAACAATCTACCAAAAATCATGATCAGGTAAAGATATGGAAAGCCTATTGCCAAATTCAAAAATCAAGAAATCATCCAAAAAATCCTCCAAAATCCCCAAAAAAAACATCCACCATCAAGGTCGCCCCAGTCGCACCTTGCCCGGGTGACACTCAAGGCTCAGCAAATCCCGCGCCAAAGTTCTTAGAGGGATGAAACCACGTGTCTCCTGACGAGTCGTTGCGAAGCGAAGCTCCAAGGGGTCAGAAAAATATGGAAAAATCACCGATTAGTAACCATATGTAACCATAAATATGGAAAGATATGGAAAAATATGGAAATATATGGAAAAATATGGAGAGATGGGATACCCTTGGGGATGTCATGGGGTGAGTTTCTCAACCCTTTTTTCAGGGAAGATCTGAATTGATGTCTGGTTGGTGGTTTTAACCATCTTGAAAAATATGAGTAAGTCAACCATGGGGAATATGAAAATTAGATATTTTCATGGTTAATGATCTTAATATCTGTTTGGTGGTTGACCTACCCCTCTGAAAAATATGAGTTCGTCAGTTGGGATGATGACATTCCCAACAGATGGAAAAATAAAATTCACACTCCAAACCACCAGCCAGCTGATTAGTAACCCACAAAAAGAATCAAAAAAATAAAAAACTGAATCTTCACGAATACTAATCAAATTGGGATGTACTTTTGTATACTTTTCTATTTAAAATTGGGGATGACTATATTTTGAAGTCTTCCCTGCAAAATCCTGACTGGCGGTCGAAAAATCTGGCTTGGGGTACTGCTGATTGCGAGCCAAAGTGTGCATGGTAAAGAGGTGCGAGCCAACATACTGCGATACTTACAGATGGTTGCGGATGTAGTCCCTGTAGCTCATAGGGGCTGCATCTGAACAGATTTCTTTCAGAAACAATCAGCAATATAAAGCAATGTCCTCTTGCTTGTGTTGAAGGCAGGGTCACCAAAATTCTGCAGACAAATGTTGAAGCAGTTCTTTGGTTTTTTGTTGCTCAGATAGGGTTCCTGAACCCCATTTTCGAGGCCAGGAGATCTTGTGTTTCTGGGGGTTTCACATCACACCGATATTCATGGGGGGGTTCTTGGCATATACGGGGATTTAACGATTACCAATGGAACATGAATAAATAATAATAAATATGAATGTTTTTTTTTATTATTCGGATATATCACCAACTATATCCAATTTGTGACCGAAAATACCCTCTGGTAATTTAACATAGCTATTGAAAATGGCCATTTATAGTGAATTGTTCCCATTAAAAATGGTGGTTTTCCATAGTTTTTTGTATGTTTGCCAGGCCGGGTAAAGACAAATAGCTCATTGTCATATCGTGTCACCATGGTCCTGCATTCGCCGAATATAGCGCCAAGTCCTGATGCAAATCGGGTTTTCCATCTGGGCAATTTTTTTTAAAAAATGGGATGATTTATGGAAAGGCCAGTGATTTACTATAATCAGGGCAAATAATCCCAATTATTATAAATCTGGGCAAATAATAATCCCATGATTTACAATATATAATTGGACTGATTTATTATACTGGGCAAATAATCCAATGAAATGTTGGGCCATTTTGCGATGATTCCTCTTAACCATGATTCCAGTGAGAACAGGGTTCGGTCGTGATCCAATTTGCCCAAATAAATAGCCTCTGGTGATATGGTTGAAACATCCCGACTATTTGGATTGCTATTATTTTTACACGTTTATGGATGATTTATGGACGATTTTCCCATTAGATCTCCATGTATAGGGGATTTTCCAGCTAGCCACGTTTGATTACCAAAGGCTATGTTGTGAAGTTACAGCAGGGAACTCACCATGGCTTGCTGGCCATGAAATATGTTGTGGAATCTCTTGATTCTCCAACGACCACCTTGCATATTGGAGGGTGCGACATGCCGCTCACATCAACCCTCAATACTTCTGCGGTTGAAATACATTTTTTTTTGGTGGGAGTCGGCTCAATGACTGACTAGCCGCCAACTGTGATCTATTTATTTAGATGTGGTTTTCCCGGCTACTTTCACGCCAACTGCATCGAAAGCACTGCGTGACGATGGTCGGTGCATCTGCTCTCTTGCCAAGAACCTGCGAAGTCAGGGGTGGTGCTGCGAAGTCAGTATGTATGTATATGTATGTATGTATATGTATGCATGTCTGTCTGTCTGTCTGTCGGTCTGTCTGTATGTATGTATGTATGTACGTACGTACGTAACGTACGTACGTACGTAGGTAGGTATGTATGTGTGTGTGTGTAATGTAATGTAATTTAATGTAATGTAATGTAATGCAATGTAATGTAATGTAATGTCATGTATGTCATGTATGTCATGTATGTAATGTATGTATGTAATTAATGTAATGTAATGTAATGTTTTGTTATGTTATGTTATGTTTTGTTATGTTATGTATGTATGTATGTACGTACGTACGTATGTATGTGTGTATGTAATGTAATGTAATTTGATGTAATGTAATGTCATGTAATGTAATGTCATGTAATGTCATGTATGTCATGTATGTCATGTATGTAATGTATGTATGTAACTAATGTAATGTAATGTAATGTAATGTAATGTTTTGTTATGTTATGTTATGTTTTGTTATGTTATGTTATGGTATGTTATGTTATGTTATGTATGTATGTATGTATGTATGCATGTATGTATGTATGTACGTATGTATGTATGTATGGATGTATGTATGTATGAATGTATGTATGTATGTACCGTATATCCCTTGCATTAGTGGGTCTTATCATGAGATCATATACATATTCTTACCCACTGAGATAGTAACGAGGATGCGCATCCAGTTGTATGACGTCCAGGAGACAATGGACCCGGAGATCTCCTAGCATTGTACTCATAACAGCCACGCCTGTGCAGCTGCCCCGTAGCTGTCTAACACCATGGCCAAGAGCATGTTGAACAGTACCAGCAGCGCAAAGCAAATATATATCACCTGGGCGCTTGGAGTGGTCAGAATCCATCAGTCCCACAGCCTCTAGCGGTGAACACTAAGGTGCTAACGAACCATAGGTGAACGAATACCTGAGAACGCGACCACGCAGATGACCTACTCTGTCGCTGGGTTTGGGGTGATAGATGATAGGGCATCTGTGGAGCCTATCTTCGCCCATTTGGCGCTTGGGTTTGTGCATCAGCAGTGCTTGACAAGTAAATCGTGGCGGAAAAAAAAAACTTCTTTGGCTGTAAGAGCAGCAGGACCGGATACCAATCATGTCCTTTACCTGGTGTTAAAGGGGGTTCTTCAAAGCCCTCTGTTAATCAACCAATGGGAATTCGGGACATCTATAGTGGAATCCCATTCATAATCCATTATCTATTAATGGTGAATAGTCCATTAATATGGTGAATTATGGATCATTCCATGATTAAATCAAACCTGGCTGAGAAAATCACCCCAGCTATAGTTCGAAGATGTTCCCAGCCATGATTTCATGGTCCCCATCGACAAAGCTGGGCTCAAGACCATTGGCATACCAGAATTCCTTGCGGAACAATGGCAAGGCAGAAAAAAAAACAAACAAATCAAGGATTACCCTCTGGTAAACTAACATAACTATGGAAAATCACCATTTTCAATGGGAAAATCCACTATTTCAATGGTCATTTTCAATAGCTATTTTGACATAACCAGAGGGTAATGGATAAACCAAAGATAGAAAAGTTGGAAACCTAGAATGGTTGCGATGCCATCCATACCAGAGTGCAAGTTGTCGTGAAATAAGTAGTACTAGCATAATAGCAAACCGCAATGAAAGTACCGCACAAGGTTGGGGTGGGTAAAACAATAATAAACCATCCCCCAAATCACCAGAAATAGGTGGTTTGAACTATTCCCAAATGGGTGGTTTATGATTGTTTTACCCACATTACAGCGGGCATGATTTTTGCAGCTCTGAACTAAGTCGCGTGCAAATAGCCAGACTTCTTGCCTCACACGGCATCCCGACTCTTTCTCCAAGCGTCAAAGACTTAACCCACAGCACAAGAAAATACGGACCACTCCTTCATGGGAAAAGAAGCGTGATGTGACTGTGACCCTCAAATCAATTCCCTGGCAGCTATGGAGGCTATGGAGGCAGCCTTAGGTGAGGATATTGCGATTCCATGATGATCCCCTTCCGGTTGCAGGTCGCAGGTGGCTTGCTGTGAAAATATGCTTGGATAAGGTGTCATGCTTCATGATCATGTTATCAATTTTTTAAACTGCTGACACACCCAAATTGGGGGTAGTTGGTTCTATATCCCAATATATCCCCATGAATATCCCACCATGATGGTTACATTCAAAACAATACCCCAGGAATTCCCCAGGAACTTCGTTAGGGAGATCCTGGTTTCTGTCCCCGAGAAATTCCCGACCTGCCATCTGCACATACCATTCGAACTCGCCCATCAGTGTGCTCATACTGGCCTCGTAGGCTGTGGATGACTTAAGGAACAATCAACATGAATTCAATTCATCGGTTTTCACGGGAAAATCTTCACCGGAAACATCCAGAAACCATAGGAGTTTTACCATCAAATAATAAGTCAGTGTGGTGGCGGCAACCTGTAAATGCTGGAACTCGTGACCCGTTTTAGCTGCGAAAAAAAAAAGGTGTCCCTTATGACTTGGTTCAGTCATGTTCAATACATAAATTTCTTCAGCTTTTTGGCAGGACATGTCACAAAAAGTTGAAAATCTCTGTGCTGTTTTTGTTCTAAAGAATCCCAGATTATCCCAGATTCCTCCCCAAATTTGATGGAGATCAAAGAACCACATATGGGGGGTTCCATAGTCATGGGGGTACCCCCAATAGCTAGATGGTTTATCTCATGGAAAATCCCAAAATGGATGAGAACTGGGGGGTTACCTTCATTTGGTTTATAACGGAAAATCCTATTTAAACCTCCATATGGAGGTTTCCTGATGGCTGGGGGTACCCCCAGTTATCATCCATTTTGATGGATTTTCCGTTATAAACCAACCATTTTTGGATACCACCATTTATGGAAACCCCATATTGTCATGGTTTTTTGGCCATAGAAAGCCCACATCCGTCGCCTCCAAACTGGACAGCAGTGAGGAGAACAGGATGATGTCACTGCCAAACCTGGGAGCTCAGCATTCCGATTCCGGGGATCTTGGGGCTAGGATTCAATCGCCCTCCCATATCTACTTGGTGGTTGACCTACCCCTCTGAAAAATGATGGATTTCCTCAGTTGGGATGATGACATTCCCAACTGAATGGAAGAAAAAAAACATGTTCCAAACCACCAACCAGATATGATCATCAGACAAAAGGGTGTTTTGAACATTGCTTAAGTGAATCACATCAACATTTATTCAAAACACAGCCACTCGATCAGTCAATCCACAAGTTGATTGACACATGTTCACCATCCTGCCAGCTGCCATCAGATCATTCGTCGATTCGTGGTCGTACCAAGGGACAACATATGCGCGATGATGGCGAAGCAAGCAAACCTCAGGCCATCCGATTAGGTCCCCCTTGGCGGTCACACAGCTGCATCAGAAGATAGTTGGGATTTAGAACATCACTAAGATATCGTTATAGTTATGTATCACTATGTATCATTTTGTATCTGGAGACTAAACCCCCTATAGTTGGGTGGTGTGCCAAATTAAGACATTTATCAAACCCTGAAATGCCCTGTCTTAGTCTTGAGTCCCAGATCTTGAGCTAGGTCGGTCCACGATGATCCACGGCTTCAGAATCTCTTGGAATTTGGCAGCGTCCAGAAGATCAAGAAGAAGTGCCTCGGTTTTAGCTGATCTTGGACCAGTCGGTGTCTGAAAATGAAATGAGGAAAATCTGGTTTTCATCCATGGGTGAATTGGGGGTTTTACCCTAAATTGTCAGACAAAGTCAAATAGCTGCAAATCTGGATGTTTTGTGCCATTCTAGGTGCAGATTGTTCTCGTTGGATCTTCAGTAGACGGGTTTATACTACCATGCGGGGTGACATCAGTTGTACAATCAGCCAGAAAATGAAGAGAGGAACACTGGAAAACGATAATTCTACCTTCCACCCATCGCTGCCTAACCCTTTCGACCAGAAACCTCTAGTCAAGAGCCCATCTACAGCCATTTTGCCGCCATCTTTCAATCACAGAACTGGACAAAAGGACCACCCAGTGGTACGAATGACCAAGGCCCAGGGTTATTCCGATCAGGATGGTTCAGAAAATTTGTGCCAAGATGCGCCACGTTGTTCAAACCTCAAAGCGACCAGGAAGAAATGAAGGTTTGAAGATATTTGGAGGTATCTTAAGTCATGGGGGTAGCCCTGGTGACTTGGAGGTCCCCCATGACTTAAGAAACACCCATATACCAAGATAGAAAACCATCTGCCTTCTGACTGCTATGGCGGGCTGCACTTCATGGCAGAAAATGCAGACAAGGAACTTTTCAAGATGGCATCTGCCACGATTTGAAGTCGTGGATTTGCACGGAATCCCTGCCATTCGCAACCACTGCCCCTTCGCAATCACCAACAGTTTCTAACCGCCAATTGACAATTTCATTATATGGTTGTCATTCCATAGTTAACTATGTAATAATGATACCAAAAAATATACGGCACCAGTAGTACCGCACGAGGCGGTGGCGGAAGTTTCAAAGATAGGACACTCTAGGAGAGATGAGTTGTTGTGATGCATGGATGGCAGAGCGAATCAACTGATGGACCGAAAGGTGGTTGTGTTTGTTGGAGTGGTTGCAGTGGTCACCTCACCCACAACTGCAGGATGTAGTGTGGCGTAGCGAAGTGCAATGTCATTGTACTTGTAGTTGTAGTTGCCGTTGTAGTTGTGTTCGCATAGTGTAGTTGAAGTTGTAGCTGTAGCAATTGTAGTACTTGTAGTACCTGTAGTAGTTAGTAGTTGTAGTTGGAGCTGTAGTTGGAGTGTAGTGTAAATGTACCTGTCGTGTGGTGTAGTTGTAGCTGTAGTTGTAGCTCCAGTGTAGTGTAGTGGTAATTGCTGTTGTTGTAGTGTAGTTGAAGTTGTAGCTGTAGTGTGCTTCACTGGTAGTGGTAGTTGTAGTTGTAGTGTGCTTCACTGGTAGTGCTAGTTGTAGTTGTAGTGCAGTGGTAGTTGTAGCTGTAGTTGTATCTGTAGTGGAGTTGCTGCTGTAGTTGGAGTTGTAGTGCGGTGTAGTCGAGCGTAGTGGTACTTGTTGTTGCTGGGTAGTTGAAGTTGAAGCTGTAGTTGTAGTGTAATTTACTGGTAGTGGTAGTGGTAGTTGTGGCTGTAGCTGTAGTGTAGTTGCAGTTGTACTTGTAGTTGGAGTTGTAGCTGTAGTGTAGCGTAGTGTAGTGGTAGCTGTAGCTGTAGTGTAGTGTAGTGGTAATTGCCGTTGTTGTAGTGTAGTTGACGTTGAAATTGTATATAGTTGTAGTTGCAGTTGTAGTTGCAGCTGTAGTGTAGCTGCTGTTGTTGTTGTTGTTGTTGTTGTAATTGTAGTTGTAGTTGTTGCTGTAGTGTTGTTGTGCAATGGCAACTGCAGCTGTAGTTGATGTAGTTGTAGTTGTGGTTGTTTTAGTTGAAGTGTAGTTGAAGCTGTAGCTGTAGCTGTGGTGTAGTTGTAGTTGTAGTTGTAGTTGTAGTTATAGTGTAGTGTAGTTGCAGTCGTCTATCTATCTGTTTATCTATCTATCTATCTATATATCTATCTGTCTGTCTGTCTGTCTGTCTGTCTGTCTGTCTGTCTATCTAGCCATCGTTCTGCCTATTTATCTATCTATCTATCTATCTATCGATCGATCCATCTATCTATCTATCTGTCTACCTGCAAGCTTGAAAACGAAGCTTGAAAACGAAGCTATTCTGCAAGGCTTCCTTCATTTCTGAAGGTGACAACATGAAAAACTAAGCAATTCTGCGAGACTTCCTCAATTTTCGAAGTTGGCAACATCAAAAACGCTGCAATGTGAGACTTCTTCAATTTTCCAGGTTGACGCCCTCGTACCAATGCGTTTTGCGATTTTTCCAATCCATCTGTCTAAAGTACTGCGCCTGCCACGAAAAAGTGAGGCTAGGTCATAGGAAGTGCTGCACCTGTCACGCAAAATCATCTTGGCAAACCTGAAGATGTGATGCTCCAAAATGCAGCCCCTCACAGGAAATCAGCGCCCGGACCTCCTAACATGTCTGACTCATGTGTCTCCACTCCACGCAAAATGCATCTTTGCAGATCCTCTTCAATCCGCCACAACCGCATGCACTTTTTCGACAGCTCAACTTCCAAAAGCGCTCCGACACTGAGGTGCTTCGTACATTTCGACTTCGAAATGTGCTTCGCGCCACACCGGCGTGCAATTTTTCATCTCTCATCTCGTGCCGCTTTAGCGAGCCTACTTTTCGATCCGCCAGAGCCCCAAAACATTGGAAAAAACACGCTTTTTCGCGACTTTTCTACCTTTTCGCGCACCTGCATCTTCTTTCTTCTGACACTTTTTCTCCTCTTATCTTCTTTTTTCTTCTCTTCTCTTCTCTGACTCTTCCCACCTCTGCTTTTTCATCCGTCCATATTGTCGGAAGTTTGACTTCTAAACTTCCTTCGAATATACCAATGTTTACATCATAATGATGTCATATGATACCAATCATGCGATGCATGATGGGTATCGTTATACTATGATGTGTATTACAAGAACAGGAATATATATATATATATATGTTCAGCTTTTGTTTTCAGTATATCCCTGCTTATTATCTATGTTATATCCCCGTTATATCCAAATTGTTCATAGTCTTAGTCTTAGACACACGTATCCCATCTCACACTAGTTGGTTGAAAACGGTTCCCTACTCATCATAATCCTCAGTAAAGTGGTTAGTATCAGTCCCAACATGTTTTAATTACTATGGGTTATGGCTTATCATAGTCCACATAATCCTCAGTATAAGTCCCAACAAATTCACCAATCAACCAATATCAACCAATAATATGTCCTTTTGGTCAAAAAAAAGTAGAGGGGCCGGGAGCTGGTTAATCCCATCATCAAACAAACCTTTTTTCAAGGATGTTAATCCACCAACCAATGGGATAAAATCACCAACCAATGGGATAAAAGGACATCTAACCAATGGGATAAACCCTTCTAATAATCCACCAACCAATGGGAATTTGGGACATCTATCGATCCCCTACTCCGGTGCCGCTCGCCGCGCCTTGAAGAATTGCAAGATGATCGTGACGGCAAGGCAGGTCGTTAAGGCACGAACCTCCAGAAATCACACATGAAACAACGATCAAATATGGATCTTCCTGTGAAATAACACAAAATTCACAGATTTGATATGAATGATATGACCCTTGATGTTGATACTTGATGAACTTAAATCATACAAATATATATATATAATGTATGTACGGTGTATGTGTGTATGTATATATATATGTACATATGTATATATGTATATATGTATATGTATATATATATATATATATCCGCCGACCCCGGCTGGTGCAAGGGGGAGCGCGTCCGGGATCACAGGTTTCTGTTTGTGCAACAGCGGCAATAAAGACGACAACAACAACAACCAACCAACCAGCCAGCCAGCCAGCCAGCCAACCAACCAACCAACCAACAAACAACCAACAAACAACCAACAACCAACAGCCAACACCCAACAGCCAACAACCAACAGCCAACATCCAACAGCCAACAACCAACAACCAACAACCAACAACCAACAACCAACAACCATCAACCATCAACCATCAACCACAACCACAACCACAACAACAACAACGACGTCAACAGCAACAGCAACAGCAACAACCACAACAACCACAACAACAACAACAGCAGCAACAACAACACCATCAGCAGCAGCAGCAGCTCGGCGTGCTTGTTGGCTGCAAGCAGTCGTAAAAAGCTCAAAAGATGAAATGCCTACATTTCAGCTAAAAATTTCTCTGGTTTTAGTAAGGTTTCAGAAAGGACGTTAGTCTTTTTTGGTGGCTTATTTTGCTACCTTTTGGGCACGAAATTAGGTCCTGTTTTGCTGTTTCGGACGCGTCACAAATCCATACAGCCTGTGCTTTGGGGGCTGGCTGGCTGCAAGATGTGGCAAGCAGCTGGGAAAAGCTGAAAACTGTTTGCTTTGTAAGGTTTCAGAAAGGACGTTAGACATTTTTGCTGGCTTATTTTGCTACCTTTTGGGCACGAAATTAGCTTGTGTTTTGCTGTTCTGGAAGCGTCACGAAGGCATATAGCCTATGCTTTGGGGTTTGTCTGGCTGCGCAAGATGTTCAGATTTTTTTCCGGGGGCGGCAAGGGCGGCAGCCCTTCAATATATAATCTATTATAATCTGATATATTACATATGTACATTATAGTACATTATTATATAACACGTACATTAATTTGCCACAGTAATTTGCCACATATCATTTGCCGCAACCCGCAAAAGTCCCAGAGGCTGCAATGGACCAGGCCCTGATCACTTGAAGCTCGTCCTGACGTGAAGCTCTCGGTGCGAGACGTGGACGTGGCTAAGGCCACTGGCCAATCGTTAGGCTTTCAATTGGACGGGTTGCCAATAGTTATTTCTTTTAGTTCATGTTTCATAATAATGTATTGGAATTGGATGTTATTGGTTAATAGTTGTTGTTATTATGCCAATTACATCCAATGACTAACAAGTAATCTTCATAGCTAGTTAATACCAGTGATAATAGTTAGGTGTTTGATTAACCAATGTAACCGGGGTTACGAATTAGTATTGGAGAGTGGATAAATAATAATAGATGATAAGAAATGATGATATAGATGGTCATACAATGATAGATGATAATAAATTGTGACAGCTGGGTAATAGATGATGGTAGATTGATGAGTTGCTGGAACATGTTTCAAGAACTTGGAATCATTTTTTATGTAAAATTGAGCAAATTCCAGCCCTGTTCGATGATAATGATAGATGATGATAGATGATGATAGATGATGATGGATGATGATAGATGATGATAGATGATGATAGATGTATACTGTATATTGCATTACATACCCAAGCTGAATTTAGATGTAGATATTTGCTACTTCATGAGACCCCCCCAACCACCGTGCCTGCATCGTCTGCAGTTCCTGCTTCGTAAGCGCCATAGCGTCAAAGCCGTCCTGCCAGCTGTTGATCATGAAAATGTACCAACATTATATGATTAGCCACATCGCTATGATATTCATCCATGACCTATGATAATCATATCAATACGATACTATATACGATACTATAATATGACCGGCCAATATGATACTATAACATGATAATAAGCATATTATATCCACAAGTATCACGAATCACGAACTTCAAGCATGTTTCGATTGAAACATTAGGTTGACGATGTCCCCACTCCTTCTGAACGGCCTGCAGCTGGTCCGAGTTGATATACCTGGGCGCTGGCCAGTCCAGGTATGTCCAGGTTCTCTGAACTAAATTTGAATCAGATCCAGATCATCAACAGGTCTGTCAGCTATAGATATCTACATAGATCATTGTAGATATAGATTATAGACTATAGATTATAGATTATAGATTATCATTATCTACATAGATCATTATAGATCGATCTTTCACATCCGCCTGGCGACTCATAGGAATCCACTATCGATCGGTGCCCCAAAAAGGCGCGGCGTGCTGTCGAGGAGCCCCAGTCTGACCCCCCAGACAATCATGGTCACAATGGACAGGGCGATACCTCGGTGAAAAATTGGGTGATCTCGAGCATTTTCCCTGAAAAATGACCGTAAAAACTAAGAGATCCAGTGGTTTCTGAGCATGTTCCAGCGGTTTTTCCCTGAAAGTCCTGACCATCAAAAGTGAGACATGTGGGTCGAAATGTGGTCGACCCTACAGCGGTCTGAGAGACTGGCAGCTCCAATCAACAGAGTTCCAGACTCCCCAGTACCTTAGCCGGGAAGGTGATCAAGACTTCGAAGCTTTAAATCTAGGACGACTTCCTATACAAACCAGACCAAGCCCTATGTTGGAGACATCAAAGATGGTAATCCATGAAGCTTTGAAGTACTGTAAATTATTCAGAACACCTCCATGAGCCAGATCATTCAAGCGAAACACAAGTTGATAAAACATTATAAGACTTAGTTCCCCTTGGGAAACTTGATTACAAAATATTACAAACCCCAAATGGTGATTATAATATATTATAATGGTGATTATTATGGTTGATAAAACATTATAACACATTATGGCGAATGGTGATTACAAACCCCAAATCACCATTCGCCATGGCCGGTTCCAATAGGTCAACGCAGTGATTATATCCCAAATCCCAATCGCCATGATATCCACATAAAGTCCCATTAAATCACCTTTATATCCCATGAAATCCCATATTGAAACACCATTTTATCCCATTAAATCCGACAAAATCCCATTAAAAATGTTCAATGACCTTATAGCCCAGTAAATCCCATCAAATCACCGTTATATCGTTATATCCACATAAAACCCCATGATATCACCATCATCTAAAAAAATCCTCTGAAAAATCCATCTTTATATCCTCTGGAAATCCCACTAGATCACCATCATATCCCCATTGAATCACGATCCGATCCATACGCAGTCAGAAGGACTCTGTAAACGCCTTGCATCCATGGGCCATCGCTGCCACAGCATCCTGAAAAATCACAATAGGTGAAGCAGGATACAAAATTCGGAGATATAAATATCATCCCAATAGGTGATATGAAACAATCGAAAATAATAGTAGATGATGTATAATATATATATATATATATGATATATATATATATATGATATATATATATATGATATATATATATGATATTATATGATAGAAGCCCAATAGATGAGATAAATCCAAATGAGAGGTAAAAAATTCTACCAATGAGATAAAAAGAGTAATCCCAATAATCACAATCTACCCATGAGATAAAGGGATATAGCATGATATAGCAACCTCCATGAAGATAGAAAAGTGTTTCCAGGATGTTCTGCATGACATCTGCTTATCTGCTTCGTATTCCAAGTTTCCCACTTTTACATCTTTTTTGGGGTGCGAAAAATCTATTTTGGGGAGATTGCCAGCTGGTAATTCAACATGGAAAATGAATAAAAAATGGCCCAATCTTGGAGGATTTACTGTGCTAAAACTGTTGATGATGATGTATTTTCTATGACTATGTTAAATTATGTTAGATTACGAGAGGATAATGGGATACCGGGATACCATGAAAACACTACAGCAACCCCCAAAAAAATAGTTTTCAAGTGTTTCCAGGATGTTATGCAGTCCCACTTGTTCTATCCATTTTGGGTGCCAAAAATCCTGTGGGAGTTCCTGGGATCCATCACACCTAGGTGACCTCCCTTGCCTTGAGCTCGGCATAGGCCAACCAAATAATGCAGCAAACGAAGAGAATGTTCACCACCATTTGCTCCACCAGAATCTGCCGCGCAGCCAAGTCACTATAGTCACAAAAGTTTTTCCACGGAAATCTTGGCCGAAATTGGGACCCCGGAATTACTACTGAATAGTGAGAATTGAAAATAAAACATGAACCCGGATGAACCACTAAATTGTTGGGGGTGCCAGAAAAATAGCTCCTCCACAAGCTCACATTTTCACTCTGAGCTTGGGCTTAACAGCCTAACCTGGCGATTTTCAATGACGCCATGGGAAACTCACCGGCGGGTGACAACCAGCTGGTGTTCGGCGCCAAGCGGCCTCTGCTGTATCTGCACAAGCCGTCGAAAAAATCTGTAGGTCCATGTCACCTGCAATGTGTTACCAGCATCAGCGTCACATCAGGGGGGTGCAAACATAACCAATCGAAAGGGGCAATCAAAAGGTATGCGAAAAGATGCTGGAGCGTTTTTCCCCATCGTACAAAGAACAGAAGGTGAGATTCGCGATGTCAGCACCTAAAGATGGATGATATGGCTTAGAAGAAAGAACAAAGTGTCCATGTTTGTTGACAATTGTTAGATAGTGTTTAGATGATTTTGAGGTCCCCCCATGTTACACAACCCCCCCCCGGCCATTTCTGCGAATGACATGGAAATTGTCCCTCTGCACCTGTGATAAAGAAGAGCGAGCTCACCTTAACTCCCGTCCATGGTCGTCAGTTGAAGCGGCTGATACCAAGCACGAGAACTTATTTGCGGCCATGTCATAGGAAACACAGACGTTGCTGATTTAGGGTATCTTCTTAATGCTGGTTGGTGGTTTTAACAATCTTGAAAAATACCAGTCAGATTGGATCATCATCCCAACTATTGGGGAAAATAAAAAATGTTCCAAACCACCAACCAGTAATGTGTATGACAAGCCATGGCCAGTGATATCAGATGTCGTTTGATCCAGTTGTTTGAAGGTCACTTCCATTCCGCTCCAATCCGCCGGGACACCTAGGAATGTCCTGCTACATTCGGGTTGTTGTTGTTGGTATCGGACGTCAACCTGCTCCTCACGGAAGTGAAGTAGTTAAGACGCCATAAATCCCAAAGTCGGGAGATCAAGCCCTCAAATCCAACAGAGCGTTCCAAAAACGCTTCGTGTTGGCCACCTGACAATGGAACGCATGGATGGACCATGCCACAGCCTCTGAGTGTTTCGCCAAGGTCGCATCAAAAGCATCTTTGAAATGACCAGTCACCGACACCGCAGCTTCATCAGCCCGAGCGTTGAGCTCACGGCATGCGGCTGCTGATAAACCAGGAGGAGGTTGCCAATTTGCCCGTTTCCCATGCGACGGCACCCAAAAAATCGAAGAACCCGGGACAACCAAGTTTCGAATCAAATGCCAAAAAGGAGATAAATCGCCAGCCCAGTAATCCGATGCAATGCCTCGAGAAAACCGGAGATAAACAGCTTCGTTGTCACACAAAATCAGAATAGGTTTATTAGCTGCCTTGGCAGCCAAACAAGCATGTAATAAAGCCGTTCTTTCACCTGCATGCGGGGTCTGCTCGCCCCCTAAAACCAGTCCACAAAAAGTAGCACCATCGGAAGACGCAATGCCCCAGCTAGCCCGTTGCCAGAAATCGCGGCCGGGAGGAGCCTGGAGACAACTGCCATCAATAGCCAAAACTGGGATTGGTGAAGAGCTGTTGTAAATGCAGTCAACCAAACCCGCGTCAGCGCAAGCAGAAGCAAAAAGATTGAAAGGTGCCTGAGGCACCAGCGCCACCAAGAGTCTTCGTTCATCCAACGTACGCAAAGGCAAGGACCAGCGATGAGAAGGACAATAAAACGTGAGATGCTCTCTGGATGGAACCTCTTCACCACAATGACATGGTAAGGGGGGACCCAACCTCCCAAGCAACCTAGCATCCACGGCTGCGCCAGTTACAACCCGGCGCTCGTAAGTATCAAGTTCACCCACAGCATGTTGCTGAAAATGCAAAAGAGGAGTGAAATCACCTAGCTGCACTGAAGTTTTGGAGTCTTCATTCCACAAATTGCGGAGCCACGCTTGCTTGGCGATCTTGACAAAATGTTTTGAAGAGCACCAGCCCACTGGGCAAGATCCTTCAGGTGTAGTCCAGATGCCATCTGCAGAAATCGACCAGTTCCAAGCCTGTAGCACAGAATCCACCCTGGGCCCGCGCTTGCCGACCACTGGCTCACCACACTTCAAGCGACATTGCCGCCGCCACTCAGCCTTGATAGTAGAAAACTGGAGCGCAAAAAGAGGATGAATCTCAGGAGTGCCCAGAGAGTTCCAAAAAAGAAAACGCGACCGACCTGAAGCAGGCTGCTTTCCCCACACCGCTGTTTCAATTAGCATGGACCAATGATTAAGCACCGCTTTTGTGTATCTGTGCCAAGATCCAGTCCACGCAAATAACGACACCACAAGTTGCCGGAGCAAAATCCGTCTCGCGAACAAGCTTTGAGCAGCCAACCGAATTTTCCGAGTTCTTTCTCGAATTACCTGAGTCAAAGAAGCAGCATCCACGCACATACCCTGGCGGAAGAGGTTGTAGTGAATTCCAAGCAAAGTGAAAGTAGAGGAAGGAGACCCTAAAACACTTTCAACTTGCTGCAAGCCGGCCAACATACTTTTCTTCGCTGTGAAGCACGAAGTTTTGTGGGGGTGGAGTTGCCAACCCAGACAGGAGTCGATGAAACTACCAGCTTCCATTGCATTGGTGACAACCGTGATGGCTTTGGCCCCAACGCTCCACAAAGTTCTGTCATCCAGAAAAATGGCACTTCTGATTTGAGGAACCTGAGTTTTGACATAGCGCAACCACAGTGTCATTAACCCGTTCAGAAGTGCCGGGGAAGCGGGACACCCCTGAAGGAGCCCACGAGAAGCTGATACAGGTTCAGGGTGAAAGAAACCATGCCATGAGAACCAACGGAGCTGACCTGAATAGAAAGCTGAAATCACATTCACAAGTTGACTGGGAGCGCCCAGCCATTTCCAGACTTCTAAAGCCGCCGCCACGCACACAGAGTCAAAACATTTCTGAATATCTGCCTTGCATCCCACTACTGTTTGATTTCGCCTTTTCGCATCAGCGATCTCAAAATGAAGCAGGTCATGAACGTCGCCAATTCCTTTTGCAGGTAAGCCACCAAAAAGATCTGAATCTGCCCAGCTTTTGATCCAGGGACGCAACTTGCGAAGAGAAGCGCTCATACAAATTCGCCAAAGAACTGAAGCCACAGCCAAAGGACGAACACCGCCAGAGCTTTTTGGCATGAGCGCAATACGCACATGCTTCCACCCAACTGGGACAACGCCTTTGTTGCAGCAAACTGTCCACAAATCCGCCACCACGTTCCAAAATGGACTCGGTAAAAGGGACAAATTGTCAGCAGTCCAACCATCGATGCCAGAAGCCTTTGCACGGGCCTTTTTAGCAACATCTAAAAGGTCGGAGCCAGAAAAGGAGAGACAATCTTCATTTGCAACCGTTGCAGATGGGCCCAAAAGACCACAAATATCACGCACTTGCTGCAGGTCAGGAAGGGACGCAGGATTCCACCACTCTTTCCAAAAAGCTGCCTCCTTGCCTGCTAAACTTTCAGGGTGTGGAGAAGAAGACAAGTCCTCAGCGACCTGAGGTTGGGGTGGGGTACGTTGCACCCATTTGCCTAATTTGACCACATCATCCTGCATTGTCGCCTTCCAAGCTTGAACACGACGACGAGAAGCTTGTTGCGCCTCAATGTCTGCCAATTGCACAGCTGCAGCCAGAAGGGCTGGGTCTCTAATGTCAAAGCTACCCAAATGAGCATCTAAAACCATGGCATCCCTGCGAATTTTCATAGCCAGCGTTTTGCACACTGCGTCTGAAACTCATTGACCCGTCTGGCAAAACGCCGAAGTCGACGTTCGCGAAGTGTCTGAAAAGACGGCGCTTTGGTCGAAGGTGGGCTTGCAATTTGTTGCGGACCCTGTCTGTCAGCTCGACCCGTCTTGCCAGTAGTTCCTAGGAGTACTTCCACGCAGTTTCTGAGAAGCCGCCACGCCAAATCAACATTGCCATCAGTTAAAGCACCACAAAACGAAGGTTGCACATCATCCCACTGTCTGATCCAAGCATCCAAAGAAACCGCAGAAGAAGATAAAGTAGGACAAGGAGGTAACTTCCAAGGATGAGAATCAGCACCATCAATAAGAATGTCATAGGAAACTCCATCATGGTCAGCTAAACCAACAAATTGAGATCTACCGCAAATAATCACACCAGGAGACGCTAAACCAAAATCAATGACCCTGCCAGTGTACTGACCTTTGAAATTGCGAACAGTGCCGTAACTCCTGTTATCACCTAAAATAGCATCATCACAATCTCTCCAACGGCCGCTAGCCAACGCCGCCGAAATAGGCCAATTGTATGATTCCAAATTGAAGTCACCAACAATCATGGCATCCTCGCCTGTAGCAGCGATCCATTCAAAAATGCTATCCAAACATTGACCAGCATGAGTGGAATTGCTAGCATGCAGATAAACGTTAACTAGAAGCAAAGGCCGCTGGCCCGGACGATGCAATTTGATAGCCATAGCCCGGGAATGCCATTGGACGGTCTCCGGGATCCGCACCAACTGCGCCGGCCACTTGGAAAAACCAAAGTGCCGCCTGAAACAGAACCAGCAGAATCCAAATTTTGAACACCTGGAAAAGTTTGCCAACCCAACTTTTTGGCAGCCATTGTGATAGCACTCCAACTATCGTGATTGACTCGTGTCTCTTGCAAGCAAACAACATCAATGGATTGCTTTGCTGCCAAATCAAAGACGCCACCCAAGCGGCCTGAAAGCGACCGCACATTCATGGTACCCACCCTCAAATTGGTGGAAACTTGCATCAGGAGGAGGACAATGCGCCGTCCTCCATTGCCAAAGCTTCCAATGCGCGCTGAGCAGCACGCTGCATGGCACCTGGCTTTCCATTGGAAATCTCTTTGAGCTGCTGCTGATAGCCGCGGCGTTTGTTGTTCCAAGCCACAACTTTGTCACATGCCACACGCTTGAAGTCCCATTCCCTGGAGCAAAGCCTGCGGCAACCAGTGCAAACAAATTTCACCGTACTGTCAATTGGCCACACAATGGCCTCGACATGGTGGTCCTTGTTCTCGGGATCTGCAGCAAGTGAAGCCTGCTGGGTGATGCTGATCACTTGCTGGCACCCTTGCTTGAGTCGTTCATCCACATCATCTGAGTCCAATGCAGCTTGCAAACGTCGGATCAGTTCCTTTCGCTGTGGGCCTCGCGAGAAGCCAAACTGCTGACAAGGCATCTTGGCGAGCAACTTGAAGGAGCTTTCCAAGCTGGCACACTTTTCGCAAATGACTTTGGTCATGTTGCGCTTCTTCTTGCCTTTCCCGGTTGAAGGAAGAGTAACAATCACAGGGTTGTGAGGCCCCGCTTCACCCTTCTTCAAACCCAACAATCGTCGGGCGACACCAGCTGCGCGAACTTTTTGAGTAGCTTTGGCAGCATTTGCTGCCCAGAGAGGCCGAAAGTCACCGCAGAACGCTTTGAAATCAGTATCGGGATGGCATTCTGCATGGTGCTTCTTCTTCATCTTATATCTTTGGTCACGATTTGCAGTTGAATCGGCAGGGATGGCCAATTCGCAATGAGGACATTGCCAAAGAACCTTTTCACCTGATTTTGGGACTGCAAGAGTACGCAGTCTCCCCTGAGGAATATTGAAAGCTTTGCGATCCTCAGGGTGCCACGCGCGAATATGGGCAGATTTCTTCTGAGGCCACAATTTGGTTTTCCCAGTCGAAAAATCACACTTCGGGCAATTCCATTCCTGAAGCTTGGGATGCCCAAGCTTGCGTTTCTTCGTTTCGTTTTCAAGCACAGCGACCTTTTGCTTGTCACCAATGTCGCTGTCTAAGTCTAAGTGATCATCAAAAGCAACGCTGGAGCATTCCTCTGCCGCACCCCGACCCACTGAAGCAGACGTGACATGGGCGTTGCCACGCTGCTCTGATGAAGAAGAGCCGGGCAAGGGTTTGGCAGAAGAATTGGTTGCAGCATTGCGGGTAGACACCAAACATGCTGGCATCGCCGCCACGCGGGTTTTGCCAGATGCCATCTCTGAGGGAAGGGCAGAACACCGAGTGTGGGCTTCACTGACCAAGTCGCTGCACTCACCACCACCTCTTCCACCTTGCATAGGGCCAGCAGCAGTTTGCTGCAAGATGCCTTGGGGAAGTTCACCTTCCAAAGACTCATAATGCTTATTGTGGAACCAAAGAGGAATGGCTTCGCCTGCACGTCCCTGAGCATTGTAAACTTCAGGAACACCTTGAGCTCGAAACACCAACACAGGTCGATCGTAGTGAACAGCGGCGGCTGCTAACTCTAAGCTGCCACCCCACGAGCCCACTTTAGCCAACAAAGTCAAATATTTGTCCCAGCTGTCACATGGTGCCTCCTCATTTGTGGGCTCTCTGCCGTCCCACCAAGGTTTGTAACGCGCATCATGTCGCCTGAGGTGGTTCACAATTGCAGCCCTGACACCACGGGCTGCTTTGGGTTGTTTGGGATCCAACCCCTGACCTAAAGCTTCAAAAACGCAGTTCCCCTGGCCTGCATTGGCACGAGGCTTCAAGCCAAAAGGCGGTGATGCCGCCACTGCAGCACGTTTCGCAGGCCTGTCCTTTCCAGGCGTGCTTCCCATCCGTTTCTCCTGACGTGAGTCCTCCTCCATCGCGCCACCCTGAGGACTTGAAGGTGTGTCCTTAAGAGTTGGCTCAACCTCTTTGGTTTTGATGGGTGACCCAATGTAGAAAGACCTGAGCTGCTGGGTAGTAGCAGGAGCACTCAAGCCATCTTGCTTGGAAGCATCTTGAAATAAAACGCGCCCTCCACTTGCCAGCTTCTTGACCTTCTGCCTTCTGGGCTTCGGGGGTAAAGCAGCGACGACCACCAAAACCTGATTGCCAGCAGTAATTTCCAAAAAATCAGTATCACTGCTAGCAACTCCTTCAATCCACCACTCAACTTGGCTTCCCCAGGACTTCCGAGAAAGGACCTTGACATTCTCAATGCCAGCATGAAGAAGCTCAGAGGTCAAAGTCTGGGCGCCCCAATCTTGTGGCGATCCTGTGATCCTCCAAGTTCTGCTCTTGACCAACTTCTCACTCGCAGCTCTGGGCTTTCGAATGCCAAGGCTATTGAAACCTCGGGCCAAGCCAAGATCACCTGACAACCCTTGTACTCTTTTCATGTAGGTTGGACCATCCTCGTGCTGGAGCTTTTTGACCCACTCCACATCACAAGACGCAATGACTGACTCATCCCACCGCAATGGTTCGACGAACCATCTGTTTTTTCCCGAATTTCCAATGAAAGCTTTGGAGCTGCTTTTTTCGATTCTCAGCAAACCAGTAATAATTGGTCTGCCTCCTCCCTTTGTTGCCTCTTCTTGGAAGCCCCACATATCAAACACCGCATTGGCCAAAGTGGCCGGCATCGTTTTCGAGAGCCAGTTCTGTACGGCTGCTCTGGGTTTGCTTTGAATGCTTTGCCACTCTGACTGCTGCAGGTATTTTGCATCAACACTGACACGCACAACCACAGTATCAGAAGCAACAGCGTTGCTGGCAACCACCGCCGGTCGTTTCAAAGAAGGACCCTTCCCAACAATTGGCATGAGAAATGCTTGTCTAGGTTGTACCTTGCCAGAAACCTTGCCTGGCACAACTCTGAGCTCCCTGCCTGTCATCGGCTTTGCATCTCGCGGTGCTAACATGACCGCAGTCACATGAACTTGTCGGGCTTTCCCTGACTCAGCTTCAAGCAAAACACGAAGCTCTCCAAGTTGTTCATCAGAATCAACCTGGACCACGGCTCTGACATCACCTTCCTTTTCAAGGGCGTCAACAAAACCCTCAAAAGAAAAAACCGAACCATCCCAGTCGCTACTTCTCAATTGCCACACAGGAACGAAACCTGACGGCTTTGAAGCTACAACCTCAGCAAAAGTGGGCTTTGACTGTTTCGCTTTCAGTGCCTCAGCTTTTTGCTGTTCTCCAGTACCAGCATTGTTCTTAGGATTCCCTGCTCTCTGATTTGAAGTGGTCTTAATCTGAGTGCCTTGAGAATTTTCAGCGCCACCTCCACCGCCTTGCTTGTTTTTTGGCTTCTGTGTCTTCTTTTTCTTCTTGGGAGTTACAGTTCCATGCGATTCTTGCACAGCTGACATGCCCAAAGAAAGAAGTTGCTGCAAAGTATTCCCACCACCAGACCCAGAACCCAATAGGTTGAGGAGCTGCAAGAGAAGTTTGAGCAAATCACCGAGCTGCTTCACATTGATCCCTGCCAAATCATCAGAGAATTTGCTAACACCCTTCTGGTTGCGTTTTCTTTCGGACTTTCTGGAACCTGCAGCATTACCATTCAATGCATGCATTCTGCGATTCCTGAGCTTCCGGGACATGGAGTGAGCACACTTCGCTATGTGAAAACATCCCGCAGTCACCGAGACGAAAGTCAGGAGGTAGTGCTCTGAACTGCCCTGCTACATTCGGGTCTGACAATAGGCTGTACCCCCTATAGAAAGCTGTTTTGATAGAGAATATGATGGTAAACCCCTGGGTGCGTTTTCAGACAAAGCCATCAACATCAACCCATCTTTTTCCGTTCAGTGTCTTATTTGAGGGAAACAAATACAGTACCCTCTGGTAAACAGCCACATAGCTATGGAAAATCACCATTTTCAATGGGTAAATCCACTATAAATGGCCAGTTTCTTCAGCTATGTTGACATAACCAGAGAGTGTCAATAGCATCCCCAAGTCGTTGGGACCCGCACGCGCACCAGCAGCAGTTTACTCGCCGGTGCCTCAGTCGCGTCACTCGGTCTTGTGGTCTGAACATCTTGAGAAAAGAATTCCCCTGGTTTCACCATAAAACACCATGGTTTATGATGGTAATGATGTATCACCATCAGATATGTTTATGATATGTTTATGATATACACCATGGTTTATGATCATGATCCCTAAAAATATCCCTATCATTTGATGGTAGTTCAAACAAACCATGTAAAAAAAAAAAAACACGCCTTTAGGGTCGGGTCAATTTTTTCTCTGAGTCGTTGGAGTCTCAGTTTTGCTGTGTGGTTTCTGTCCATATTTGGCTGAAAAAATCGGATGCCTCTAGATCTGCTGATCGTTTTCAAGAAATAACCCATTGACATAGGGGGCTACTCTAGCCCATTGACATATCCCATACTTTCAAGCATATCCAATTCATCACATCCGAAATCAGAGACGCAGACATTGTGGATGCTACAGCTCAAGGTGATGGCTCGAGAATGCGGATCATTGAGATCGCTGTTGCTCCTCACATGGCGTTGTAAATCTCTAACGATTTTTTGGGGTTTCCGTTTTGTCATGGGGGTACCCCCAGATCCAAATCATCCTATTTTATACATGGATGTTCCATGATAAACCATGAATTTGGGGCTACCCCCAATGTAGGACACCACCGAAGAGAGAGACCTAAACCTCGGCTCCACTGCATGGCTGCAGTGCACGGCTGCATGGCACCTCCGGAAGCTTTGGATGGCCGCCCTGGCAGCACCTGGTGCTGGTTCCCTGGAAGTGATCAGAGTTGATCCAGATTTGATCCGGTTGGTGGTTTGACCTAGCCCTCTGAAAAATGATGGAGTGAGTGAGTGAAAGTCAGTTGGGATGATGACTGACATTCCATTCCCAACTGTTTCTGGAAAGTCATAAAATTCCATGGTTCCAGTCACCACCATTCCTAGATATCTCATAAACCACTATTAACCACTATTAACCACTATTAACCACCATTAATCACCAACCAGATATACATGGCACCTAGTTACGCACCGGCTTCACGGATCCGGACCCCCCACCCAGGTAGTCCGAAGAGTTGCTGGTAGACAAATAGCTCTGGGCCTGGGATAGGTAGCTGAGCCGGAGCAGATATCGCTGGCGTCTCAAAATGGCAGCCTACTTCAAAATTGCTGATCATTGAGTTATCATATCTAATATTATCATCATGTTCACTGAAATAGATGATTTGAAACATATTAAAACAACACATTTTGTTGAACTTTGTTGTGTTGTTTCTCTGCCACTCCCAGCTCCACCCAATTTTCACCACGTTTCCAGCGGAAAAACACCGAGGTGGCTGGCAGCAGTGCTGTGAAGCAGCCACTCGGAAGACACGTCTCCATCCTGGCGCTGTTAAAATGTTGGAGAAACCAAGGGTTTCTAAGCCGCAGCAGCCCTTGGAAAAAGCCCCAAAAACCATAGGGCCACAGGGGAGTACCCTCTGGTAAACTAACATAGCTATGGAAAATCACCATCTTTAATGGGTAAATCAACTATAAATGGTCCATTTTCAATAGCTATGTTAAATTACCAGAGGGTAGCATGAGATTTCAGTGGCACATTTCTCAAAAAACTTCGCGCAACGTCAGGTCTGCCCAAGCTGCCTTGTTTGTGTGAGTGACCATCACGTCGCCCAGCAAGACATTGGAACCTGGCGGAAGGGATGCACCAAAGTTGAAGTACAACTTAGATAGTTAGATGATCTCAGATGTCAAATTGATGTCAAGGATGATTTTCCCATATTTACCCTTTGGTAATTTTACAGTTTGCCAACTGGGACACTGGCCATTAAAAGAATAGCTGGATCATCGAACGAACACTGGGCCATGGGCCATGGGTTTTTCCACGCCTGCGACGTGAAATCTGGTGATGCCATCAGCACCGATGGCCGCGACTCCGAAGAAAGCTGCCAGGGCAGATTCTTCTGCCCAACCTGGCGTTTCCGAGTTCGTGGATTAGGTGAGGATTGGGTGAGGATTGGGTGAGGCTGGGGCTAGGGCTGGCACGAAAAAAATCACCCATGGAAAATCCATGAAACATGCAATGGAACATGGAAAATATCCATGAAAATCCTATTGAATGTTCATATATTTCATATCAGATATGGAAAATCCATGGAAAAAACACCATTCATGGATGATTTCCGCTTAGATTCATGGCCGTTCCATATCTGAGGGACTGCCCCAGGGCAGGGCGGTGACGCCCGCAAGTGGGAATCAAGTGCCAGTCGCAGCTATGATCATGATAAGTTGTCCAATCCAAATCATTCAAGAACCACAAATGATAAATGATGCGGACAGTATCACTGCTCAGGAATTAGCTCATTTTTCATTATCCGTCATATCTAGAGATACTAGTTGGTTGATCAGTTTCCGCAATATCGGGTTATCATGGGCTAATCCCCAAAAAACAGATGGTCATAACTCCTTACAATAACCTACAACGAACAATTCATCACCCATCAGCCATCGGCGCCTTTAGAAACCGCCATCCACAAGAAATCATGGAAGTCACCAGCTATTCAACCACTATGAAAAACCAGCCATTAGGAAATCACACTCACATCCACGATTAACTATTAATCGCATTAACCATTGTTAACCACTATTATTAATCACTATCATTAACCACTATTATTAACCACTAACCAGCCCTTTTCAAACCATCTCCCATCTGGCCGAGGTGCTCCAGAAGGAGCTCACGTCGCTAATGTGTTGATCCATAAAGGGCCCCGAGAGCTGAGATCCAAAGGTCTCAGCCGATAACCGCGGAGTTTCCGCCGCGCAAAACGGATGATGGATGGATGCTTCGCCGAGTGGCTTTAACGGTGGAATAACTATAGAACATCACCATGTTTAATGGGAAAATATGGGAAAATTCACTATAAATGACCATTTTCATGGTGATTCATGGTGATGAATGATGATTAATGATGGCTAATGATGGTAAATGATGGTGAATTAATGGTGAATTAATGGTGATTAATGATGATTTCACTTACCCTCTGGTAAATGTTTACGTAACTATGGAAAGATCCACCATGCTATTAATGGGAAAATCCACGAAATAGTCACCCTGTTCGATAGCAAACTGTTAGTTTACCAGAGGGTAATCATGGTTAATAGTGGATGTGAGTGTGGTTTTCATAGTGGATTGTGATGCTGAAGAATGGATGAAATAGTGGATTAATGTTGATTATATAACAGTGATTATAATGGATTAATCATGATGTATCGTGATTAATAATGGATAAACATGACTAATAGCAATGATTAATAATAAAGATTAACAATACACAATAATGAATTATAGTGGATTAATGGTGATTTATGTTGAATCATAGTGATTCATAATAGTTAGTAATGGACAATAATGATCACAATTGTTAAATATAGTGGATCAATGTTGCTGAATGTTGATTAATAATGATGATTAATAATGTTGGTAGAGCAATAATCAAACCACCCATAGTTTAATGATTTATTCCACCCATGTGTGATAAATGTGCGGATCGTTTACTATTGCTTCACCAACATTTATGCTGATGGATTAATAGGATGATGGATGGTGAATGATGATGATAATGGATTGATGTTGCCAAATGGTGATAATTAATAATGACTAATAATCAAGGTTGGCAACTAATAATGAATAAACAATGGATAATTATTAACTATCATTCATTATTAATTATTCATTATTATTAATAATGACTAATGATCAATAGTGGTTCACTGGTGCTCCCATTCCCCTAATGAAACACCATGGTGAACCTCGCTAAAAATTCATTAGGGGCTGGTGCCAAATAGCGATACTTTGCTATTCAAATGGTGGTGATACCTCAAAATGGGGATACCTCAAAATGCTTGGTTTATAATTGAAAACCCCAATCAATCCCAATCTAAAATGGATGATTTATATAGGGGTACCCCCATGACAAAACGGAAACCTCCAAACGCTACCCCCCAAATGATCAACAGCCCAAGGGAGTTGTCTGAGCTTCTCACTGAGATGTAGCTTCCTGAGGCTCGGCGATCCAAAGTCCCAAGTTCAGTGGAAATCTGCACTGTTTTCTCCAGTTGAACTCCGTAAAACATCCAGCGTGTTTTCGTGAGCAAAAAATGCTAGTCTACAGTATATGATGTTGAACAAACACTTGAGGCACAAGCAACCGATAAAACACCCAAATAGCTTGACGAGAGCTTCCAACACCAGTCCAATAGTGCTTTTGTCGATTGTTCATAGCCCTTAACCACGTCCAAATATGATGTGTTTTTTTTCTTCAGAATGATCTCCGTGGATAGATCTCATCTCTCTGTCTGTACATACGTCAATGTGTGTGTGTCTACTTCACCGACATGGTTTCAATCAGCATTTTTCGGTCAAAAAAGGGGACGAGGGGTCAAATTCACCATGGAATCCCCTGGTTTGCCACGATTTTCGACGAAAACTTCCGCTGCAACCGTGCTGAAACGCTGGATGTTCATCCCCATGGGAAAAAACCATGGAAAAACATGGTGATTTCATCCATCCCCAGTCATTTGATTTGCCAAACACGATGGAAAAATGATGCCATTCTGGAAGACTTATCCAAAAAGAAGTTTCCGGCCCTGCCATAGGAGATTCAACCTTGAAAAAGCCATATCCATACGCTTTCAAAAAACAAGCGGCTCACGGCGGTTTCAGCTTCTTGGTTGCTCTTGATGTCCAGGTTTACCTGGCTTCGACATGGATCGATGGAAGCTGGCGGGGGATGCTTGCTTGGCTGTACCAACACAGCATGTGGATGTTTCATTCGGGGGTGTACACTTGTTCCATGTATTACTAGTAATTAGTGGTTCATATCCATTCAAAGTGATCAATAATGGTTAATTATAATTGTTAGTTAATGGTTAATATCCACGAATGGTAATTCTCATGGACTACAATGTATTTTTGACATCCAGAGCATTCATAAAGACATTTTGGATCACCTCCCGCTCCAAGCCTGCACCACGAGGTAAAAGATAATCCTCAGGTCACTCGAGGTCACTTGGAAGATCATCCCACTCAGGAACTGGTTAAAGGAAGGCACCATGATCATAGCCTATTTTTTTTGATGGGAGATATAACTTTATCGACTGCATAACCATAATTTATACCATAATTAGGGCCTATAGATTTTATAGATGGGACTTACTATCGGCTTAGACATGTCCCTCAGGTACCAGCAACTGGAGACAGCTCCCCCAGGTCGTCGCCGCGCTCGCGCCGAGCGGCAGAAGCACAAAGGTGAAGAACAAGGTCCCCAAAGCGTCGTCCCGTTCAATCCGCCAATTGATCAGCCTGGCAGGCATCAGCTGCGAGCTGAATAGTGGTGATAAATGGTTTTTTGAATGGTGATTAATAGTGATATATAGTCATTATATAATAGTGATTATATGATAGTCATTATATAATAGTGATTATATGATAGTGATTATATAATGGTGAAAAGTACAGGGAATCCAAGGTCTATGTCAACAATGAGAACACTGATAGCATGGAAAAAAAGGATGGTGCAATGGTACAAAAACCCAACTTCTTTTCCATACCATACGTAGGAAAAACAGGTTTGCTGCAGTCCAACAAATGAAAACTTGCAAGCTCAACACACAAACAGAAAATGCCACCATTACAAGACAATTGCCCTGTGAACCAAAATTTACCATCGCCCCATCCAACAGTTCAACCTATCTACACCTGCATCCTTCAGTCTCCCATTTACCAAGGTGGACGCTGAAGAACCATCAACAAGACCAGCATCTGTAAAACAGAAACCAAGAATCACATAGAATGAACCAAACCTGGTTTCCATCTACAGACAGACAGACAGACAGATAGATAGATAGATAGATTGGTTAGTTAGATTGGTTAGTTAGATTGGTTAGTTAGATTGGTTAGTTAGATTGGTTGGTTAGATAGGTTAGTTAGATAGATTAGTTAGATAGATTAGTTAGATAGATTAGTTAGATAGATTAGTTAGATAGATTAGTTAGATAGATTAGTTAGATAGATTAGTTAGATAGATTAGTTAGATAGATTAGTTAGATAGATTAGTTAGATAGATTAGTCAGATAGATTTGTTTGTTAGTTGGTTCGTTTGTTGGTTAGTTAGTTAGTTAGTTAGTTAGTTAGTTTGATAGATAGATAGATAGATAGATAGATAGCTAGACAGCTAGATAGCTAGACAGCTAGACAGCTAGATAGCTAGATAGCTAGATAGCTAGATAGCTAGATAGCTAGATAGCTAGATAGCTAGATAGCTAGATAGCTAGATAGCTAGATAGATAGATAGATAGATAAATAGATAGAGAGTCTATATAGAGTCTATATGGAGTCTATATAGAGTCAGTAACCCCACAAAGATAGAAACACAACTTTGCCATCGTTTTTTTTCGGATCTTACAACTTGCTATCTTTTTATTTCGGAAGTCCCCAAGGCCGCCGCCGCCAAATCTCATGGCCTTTCCAATTTCTCTCGGCTCTTCATGGGAATCGAACACTTGGCAGCCTGGGACTCCAGAAATTCCATCACCTGGCGGCTCGGTATACTCCTTGGGATGACGGATCAATGGTGAAATGGTTGGTGAATGCTCTGAGATCATCTGAGATCCACCGCTTTCAGGTTCCTACTTGTAGTTCAGAACTGTAGATCTGCAAACTTTGCAAATGTCCAGCGTCGCAAGACGTGTACACAAAAAAAAAGAGAGCTGGCCGCTGTGGGAGTGCACTTTTTTCCATGCAGTCATTACATTAATCATTATATTAGTCATTATATTAGTCATTATATTAGTCATTATATAAGTCATTAAATGAATCATTATTTTTATCATTATATGAATCATTATATGAAACATTCTATGAATCATTATATTAATCATCAAATGAATCATAAAATGAATCATCATTATATCAGTCATTAAATAATTCATTATTTTAATCATTTTATTAATCATTATATTAGTCATTATATATATATATCATTATATTAATCATTATATTAGTCAATAAATTAACAAGTATATCAGCCATTACAAAAATCATTATATTAATCATTATCTTAGTCATTATAAAAGTCATTAAATAAATCATGAAATGAATCACTATATTTATCATTATATGAATCATTATATTAATCATTATATTAACTATATTAGTCATTGCATTAGGCATTATATGAACCATTACATTAATCATTATTTAAATCATGATAATAATCATGATATTAATCATTAAATTCTTCATTTGAATAATCATTAAATTAATCATTTTATTAATCATTATAATAATCATGATGTTGATCATTTTATTAATCATTATATGGATCATTATATTAGTCATTATATGAATTACTATTTTAACCATTATATTAATCAGTACATTAATCATTATATCAATCATTATACTAATCATTTTAACATTCATTTCATTAGCCATTGTATTTATCATTATATTAGTCATTAAATTAATCATTATGTTAATCATTATATTAATCATTTTATTAATCATTACATTACTCATTATATATAAACTCATTAAATTAGTCAGTATTTTATTCATGATATTATAATCATTGTATTCATCATAATAGTAATCATTATATTAATCATTCTTAAAATATAATCATGATACTAGTCATTATAAAAGTCATTAAATGAATCATGAAAAGAATAATTATATTTATCATTAAATGAATCATTATATTAATCATTTTATTAATCATTATATGAATCATGATATTAATCATTAAATTAGTCAATAAATTAACAAGTATATCAGCCATTACAAAAATCATTATATTTATCATTATCTTAGTCATTATAAAAGTCATTAAATAAATCATGAAATGAATCACTATATTTATCATTATATGAATCATTATATTAATCATTATATTAATTATATTAGTCATTGCATTAGGCATTATATGAACAATTACATTAATCATTATTTAAATCATGATAATAATCATGATATTAATCATTAAATTCTTCATTTGAATAATCATTAAATTAATCATTTTACTAATCATTATATTAATCGTGATATTGATCATTTTATTTATCATTTTATTAATCATTATATTAATCATTATATTAATCATTATATTAGTCAATATATTCATTTAAAAAAAAATAAGTCATTACATTAATCATTATATTAATCATTATATTAGTCATTATATAAGTCATTAAATGAATTTTGGTTTTTCCATTGTTTTTTTTGCAGTTTGGCCTGGGGGGCGCAGGTGTGCAAATTGCAGAGACGCGCATTTTTTTGAGAGGTACTGTGATGAAAGCATCTTCACATGAAAAACATTCAAAACAACAATGGAAAAAACAAAAAAAAAAGTTCAGACCCATGGGCAAGGTCTGGGAGAGGCCTGGCAGGGGACATGGGTCTGAACTTTTTGTTTTTTTGGTTTTTCCATGGTTTTTTGCAGTTTGGCCAAAAACCTCGAGAACACAAAAAAAAAAGTTCAGACCCATGGGCAAGGTCTGGGCTATCCACACACAAACCAAAAAACCAAAAAAACAAAAAAACAAAAAACCAAGAAACCAAAAAAACAAAAAACCAAAAAACCAAAAAAAACATGATTGCACACCCCAAGGGGAGGGGGTCAGATGCAGAGTGTTGGGTCTTGTCTTTTTGGTTTTTTTGGTTTTTTTGGTTTTTTGGTTTTTTGGTTTTTTGTTTTTTTTACACACAAACCAAAAAACCAAAAAAACAAAAAACCAAGAAACCAAGAAATCAAAAAACCAAAAAACCAAAAAAACAAAAAAAAACAAAAAAAACAAGATTGCACACCCCAAGGGGAGGGGGTCAGATGCAGAGTGTTGGGTCTTGTCTTTTTGGTTTTTTTGGTTTTTTTGGTTTTTTGGTTTTTTGTTTTTTTGGTTTTTTGGTTTTTTGGTTTTTTTACACACAAACCAAAAAACCAAAAAAACAAAAAACCAAGAAACCAAAAAAACAAAAAAACAAAAAACAAAAAAAAACAAGATTGCACACCCCAAGGGGAGGGGGTCAGATGCAGAGTGTTGGGTCTTGTCTTTTTGGTTTTTTTTGGTTTTTTTGGTTTTTTGGTTTTTTGGTTTTTTTTTTTTTGGTTTTTTGGTTTGTGTGTGGATAGCCATTGCAGATGTGCCAAGCAGAGATTGCCAGGCACTGTCAGTGGTTGCACTAGAAGCAAGGTCGATACACTACAGTACAGCAATGTTTGCTATGACATAGTGCATTCAGCCAATGAACAGCAGAGAGGAATGGAATTCAATTTTGTCCGGTTGCGCCATATGCTGTTGGATCTTTGCACAGGAAATGCTGCAATTTGCGCACTCCCACAGTGGCCTGTTCTGGAAAAAAACATATGCACTACACGTACTAATAGTCACTAATATAGTATATTTTTTGTTTTTAGGTGTACACAGTGTACACTAATCTTCTACATATATTTCATAATATTTCTATATGATTAGACTATGTGACTATGAATGTACACCTTCAATACTGATGGGATCATCCCAGGTCCCACAGGTCCCACAGGTCCCGACTGGTCCCACCTGGCTTTTGCCTGCCAACTCCTCGGCAAAGGCTTCAGCAGAGACGAAACCATCCTGCGTCGCGTGAAAAACCGAAGGATCTGCGTTAAACCGAAAAGATTGGTGAGTTGTGATGGTGTCCTGTGGCAGGAACCCAAGAAATCACGCAAAGCTGAACACTTCAACCTCTTCAACCTCTACATCGGGGAACTATTGTAACTATTGAAGCAAATTAGTTCATGCCGTCTTCATCCGGAAGAGGGTTTTTTCGGATGATGCCAAGCCAATGGATGAAAAACAGGGCTTTTCCCATCAGACAAACCCAGGCGACAGGATTCCAAACAAAGCACCGCTGTGCGGTGAAGGTCATCGCAAGGTGAGGCGGTTGCTGACGAAATCGCTAAGTTGACGCACATCGCGAACGGTGAATTCGATGGTTTGTGGGTGATGTAACTACCCTCTGGTAAACTAACATAGCTATGGAAAATCACCATTGTTAATGGGAAAATCCACTATAAATGGCCATTTTCAATAGCTATGTTAAATTACCAGAGGGTATAGTTAATGAGGTGAAACTAAACCAACCTGCAACTGGGGGACCTCACCTTGTGTAGTGTTTGGATGGCTACGCAACAGGTTTCATAGACAGCATCTGAAACACTCGGGCATGCTCAGACTTAGTTTGGAGCATTGTCTTAAAAAGGAAATCATCCAAAGCCAGCGAGATCAAACTCACACACCTTTGGAAGTATTTGGATTGGTCCAAAAATGGGCTATACCGCCGCCAATTAATTGCAATGTCAATCCAAAAAAAAAACATCATCAACTATTGGAATTACCCCTGGTACTTTAACATAGCTATAGAAAATCACCATTTTTCATGGGAAAATCCACTATTTCGACTGGGCCATTTTTAAAACATCTTCAACCTCAAACCACCAAACTGTTGGATTCTGAAGGATTTCCCAACATTTTCAAAAAAAACCACTCATTCTATGGGGCCCCATCTCAGCTTCCGCACCTTGTCCAAGGGAAGCTTCTGGAAGATGGCCTTGAGATGTTTCGGACCGTGTCTCTATTGAAAATACCGTCCCATTCATTCTATGTATATATATATAGTCAACTTAATCAACATATATAATAGATATAAAAAAAAAAATGTATATAGTATATACATAATTACAAAACAAAAATAGATCTATACATGTCATGTAGTACATACATATTATATATATATACTATACATACTATAATATATATATATACTATACTATACATACTATATACTATATACTATACTATACAATACTATACATACTACATACTATAATATATGATATATATATATATACCACCAGCCCTTTGCGTTTCCTGACCTCCGCCTCTGGAAAGCGCAGCATCTCCGGCAGCGGCGGCAGCTCGTCCTCCGAGTCCCTCTCGTCGCGCGCACGGCTCAGCGCCGGCCTCGGCACCGCGAAGGCACCGAGGAAATCGTGGGGAAACCGTGGGGAAAGTTGGGAAAGTTGGGAAACACCATGGAAAGTGCCCCCAAAGTTTGAAAATGTTTGAAAACCCATCAGTTTTTGCTCTCCGACAATTCTGAGGTGATGATTTTCACATTGGTTTATGGAAACTCCTGGACTCTGGAAATGGCCAGGCCAAAATGGTCACTTTTTCTTCACCACATCCATCTCGACTGCAGCCAAGTGGCAACGGCAAACCAAGCAAAGGGCCAGAAAAAAGGATGAAGCCCTGAGATCTTCACGGAGATATCTACCGGGAGATGAAAGGTGGCAACCATCTCCAGCAGATATCCATGGTTTTCCATCCACTGCTCAGCCACAAAACCAAGAAAAATGAAGCTGATAAAGGAGGATTGTTCCCTAGGTGTGGCAATTTCATCTCATTTTAACAGGGAAGATGATGCTAGGCCATCAAATGTTCGGGGGCACCCAATTTTCATACCCCAAATTCTTGAACAACTGCCAACTACCCGTCACTAGCCACAAGAAAAACCAGCTTCCAAGGTTCAAAGAATTCTGAACTGAGGCCACATTTTTTGTGGGTCTCCATTCCTTTCAAAATTAACATGAAAAGGCCATGGCAGCCATGGCCCATGGTTCACATTCCACATCCCTTTCACATCCAGGCCTCCAAATCTAGAACCTTGGGAGATTCTTTGTCCTGTCGTGCTGAAAAAAATCCCCACCACCCAACTGTCCGTCCTGGCAGGGGTACCCATGACGTAGTAGATCATAAGTGGCAATATCCCCCAATATACCAGAATTCACCAAAAAGAAACCATATACACTACCAATAGTTCATATTATCCCCCATGAACATCCAGAAACATCATAAACCATAGTTGATTCACCCATTTTTTCGGTATCCACTTAGCAAACCATGGAAGACTTGTTCAGCCGTGCCCAGCCTCCAAGGGGTCTTGTTTTGCCTGGCCACAAGCAACGTTTGGTGCAAAAAAAAGGGACAAATCAAGCTTAGCCACATATATGTATGTATGTATGTATGTATATATACATATATATATATCATTGTTTGCTACACATAGCCATGAAAATACATCTATATATATATATACACAGAGAGAGAGAGATACATATATATATATATATTATTAGATTAATGTATTATCATAATAATATATTGTCATATTGTTATATTATTATATTATTATGTTATTATATTATCATATTATTATATTATTATATTATATTATTATATTGTTATATTATTATATTATTATATTATTATATTATTATATTATCATATTATTATATTATTATATTGTTATATTGTTATATTATTATATTGTTATATTATTATATATTATTATATATTATTATATATTATTATATTATTATATTATCATATGATTGTATTATTAAATTATATTATTATATTATCATATGATTGTATTATTATGTTTTTATATTATATTATATTATACTATATTATATGATATTATATTATATTATATTGTATTATATTATATTATATTATATATATATATTAATATTATACTATGAATCATCTTTGGTATCAATTGCTAAACATCTTCTAGCTGTTCGCCTTGGTTTGAAGCAGTTGGCAAAGTTCGTCGACATCAGCCTGGGATCATGCCAAAACGTGGTAAATCTCTGGGTTTCTCAAAGTCCCTTAAAAACTGTGTAAAAAATGGTGAAAATGGGCTCAAGATCCACGAAACTTTGGGAATCTTTGCCAATCGAGTCTTGGATCGAGCCTCGGGGAAACCAATCGTGGTGAAAAATCATGGGCCCCATCATGATGCAAAAGACTAGCTGTTGGGGTCACCATGGCATCCACAGCCATGGCCATGGCATCTTAGTCGATCTCGCAGCCATGGCACGTTTTAATGTGAGATTCACCCAATGCCATAGTCGCCATCCCCAAGGCCATGAGGTTTATGAATTTGGGGATACCCCGATGGGGTGATGAAAAACTATGACCCCCAGTGATCGGAACGAACACGCCTTGTTGATGTTGCCAAAAGTCCTTCGTCGAACCTGGAGATCGGAACAAGCGCGAATGGCCATGCTCCCTGTTTTAAGTGCCAAATATACCCATGATCACATGATCAGATTTTTCTTGGCCCTGAGGCATCATCTATATATTGTATCTCTTTCATAAACATGGATAGTGCATCCCCAAAATTGGATCTGTGATGTTTTCCCCTTCCAAATGAATTTTTCATGGTCATGTCTTGTGAGCAGTGCCAGCTCCATCGATCAACTGAGCTTCCAGGCTTTGGCTGCCAGTATCGAGCCTGCAAGTGCTTCGGTAGGGATCAACTAAGCTCCAGAAGTTGTTTTAGCTCTGGGCCTCGGGGGGCCTGAAAAAAATCCAAAAATCCATGGTGAAATCCCAAAACTCGTGGAGCTGCAGCAGCTGCCCCCCCAACAGGCAGAGTCAAGAGTGTTTACTGGCACCTTCTGCGGCTTTCAGCCGCTTCAGAAGAGATGGATGCAGATCTGCAGTGACAAAATCCGGCAGTTCGAATGGCCTCAGCTTCTGGGAGACCAACCGACCGGGATTTTTACATGTTGGAGGTTGGATCAGGTTGGATGTCTACCGGTCATCAGTGGAGGAAAATCCTAAAAAGGTATAGTGAGAATGATAGAAACCCATCTAGAAACTATCCATCCTGAATTGTTCCTGGTAATGGAATTCTTCGCCCCTTTAGTTCGATGATAAAAACCCATTGAAACTTTGATTCCACTGGGCAGACTTTCATCGCCAGTGGCCATGAGAATCCCAGTCTCCAACGAGTTAACAAAACGAATAGAGTTGCATGAATCAAACACAAATCAATCATTAATATTATATATAGAATGTTGTTTGTATATATATATATAATTATATATACTAATAGTAAAGTACTATCATCTATCACTCATCTAAGCTTGATAATATCATATCAAAGTTGTGTATATATATAACATAATATAATATAACTGTAGTATATTAATCAGGCCTTTCATCAACACGTTCTTTTAATCCCATCAATCTATCATCCCAGCTTATGCAAACATGTTCGAAGGAGACCATCGCCCAGCACTGGCCCCTTCTCCCTTTGGCAGTCGACTCCTCCTCAAATTGTGCTGCAACCTGTGGAAACGACGAAATCGTCACGAAATCGGCGATTTTCCAGGGGCCTATGGTAATCAAACAGCTAAAAAACATGGTGTGCAGCAAAACCACCCAGTTATAGATGATGTTCCATTAAAATGGTGTTTTGCAGCACGATTCTAGGTGGTATCATCATGTATCATCTATAACTGGGTGGTTTTGCAGTACCCTAGTTATAGATGATGTTTCCAGTACCCCATGAGTTAAAATTGCCAATTCTGTATCTCCGCCATCTTTGACCTGCGAAAATTAAGCCCAGCACCTCTGGAGACATGATGGCGTTAAAGTTGACATATTCGGACATGAACCTACGCAGCAAATGGTGGCCGTGTCTGGCAAGTTCTCTGAAAACTGTGGGAAAAACCACCGAAAATCCACCCAACAAAAAAGTCGTGAAGTCGTCATTTCCCCCTATGAAACAACTATAAACAGCTGCGTTTTTTCTCTGTCTGACAATCGGAAAATCCCCAAATGTCCCCGTGAAAATGGCCATAAAACCAGCCTTCGACGTCGGTCACTTCCATGGCCTTCTTAAACAATGGGAGAAAGATGGAGAAATGGTAGCTGAATTTGGGGAATGGGATTTTATATGGTGAATAGGGATCTCACCAACAAAAAACGTGCAGAATCGGATAGGAATCTCCGCAAATGGTGATTTGTTACAGAGCTATGGACAATGGAAGCCATTGCCCATTTAGTTCGATGATTTACCTGGTAAACAGGTTGATTTCCAATTGCAAACTATTTAATTGCCGCAGTGTTTTTTGTGGAAACCCATTTTCACAAAAATCATCCAGGCTCATGTCTTGCAAAATTGCAATCCTTATATGTATACATACCACGCCCCTCTCCGACAAAAGATAAATTTCCCCACCTTTGACATGTGTGACTCGATGCTGATGGGCCTCAGTAAGCCATCCGTGGAATCCAAAAATTCACATCAGCCATGGTGAAGCCACTCACATCAGCCAGGAATCCCAGATGTTGATGCTGCAAAGTTAAGGGATGATTCATCAAGATTTTTGTGTTCGCATAAGATGTCGACATATCATTCATCCAATCATCCCATTATAGCAACCCCCCCAAAAAAGAAGTTGGTAACTGTCAGTCAAATACTCGTAAAAGCTCATGTCAAAGACGAAGAAACATGTAAGACAAAGCAAAAAGTCAAATTGGGAAGTCGATAAAATCCTACCCTCTGGTAAACGTTTACATAACTATAGAAAATCACCATGTTTAATGGGTAAATCCACTATTTCGATGGCCATGGCTTCAATAGCTATGTTTGTTTACCAGGCCGGGTACAACAGTGAAACATCGCTGGCATCTCTGACAATTCGCTTTCCGAGCTGCATTGAATTTCCTCATTCTCCGATTCTCCGATTCTCCGCGTCGCGATGCAAAAAAGGGCCAGCGGTTTTTTTTCATTGCCAGGTCATCGGGGATGTGTGATACATCTCCCATCTCCCAAACTCATTTCCAAGCTGTTTTTCTTTGAAAGGGCCGGAGTGGGCAGTGAAAATTTGCAGATAGTTATGATATGTTATGATAGTTTGCAGTTCATGTAATCTTGAGCTCCTCTTGCCACAGAGATATTCCATGACTTTCGTCCGTGTCGAAATGACCGAAATGACCTGGGATACCTGAGGCAATCAAGTTACTGTTGACATCTGCTAGTGGTCTGAGACACTCCAAAGCTGAGTGGATATCAGTGCAGCATCCAAGCGCTGAACAAACGTCGTGTGTGTGTGTGTGCGAGACTCGTTCTGAAGTCCCCAATGTTTTGATTGGATCATGATACATGCCTTTCAAATAAATGTGTATATATATATATATATACATATTATACACGTATTTACGAGTTCATCTAGTCCTTTAGCTAGTTGTAGAATTACTGAATTATTCGGATGCACCTCAAGTCATGTAATTCAATGTGAAAAGGAGCTGAGCCCAAGTGGGATGCAAGCAACAAAAAGAGTCGGAATAGTTTGGGGATGAATTGAACACAGGAATCCCCCAAAATCCCCTAGTTGATCATCAACTTTGCTTCGCAAGAAAACACCCCCCCAATCCGATTCCAACGTGCCGCCTGATCCTCGTAGACGCTAATAGCTAAAAATAGTCATCGTTGCTACGGATCATCGATGATGATTGTTGTAGCCCATTGGATTTGGGTGGGTGGTCCCAATAATAATCGTTCAATCAAAGCTGTATTTTGGTTGATTTTGCTCAAGAGCGATGTTCTGTTCCTCTCACTGCACATATCAAACTCGTTTGGAGCCAAAAGTGCTCTTAGCAGTCCGGACGTTCAAGCTAAACGTAGGAATGGGGGAATGGGGGGAATGGGATGATTGTTAAACTAAGAATTATGACAATTATTGACAATTGATGGATCATTCCATATCATTCCCCCATTACGTTTAGCACCGGAGATTCTGTCTGTGCACTATGTGGATGTCTTCGCTACCAAGGTGGCGCCCAAAATGATTCCCCGGTGTCATCTCTTTGGTAATTTTCCCCTGCGCCACGTTGGATGACACAAAAAGGCATGAAAAACATTGAAAAAACATTGAAAAAACATTGAAAAAACATTGAAAAACATTGAAAAAACATTGAAAAAACATTGAAAAAACATTGGAAAAAAACATTGAAAAAACATTGAAAAACATTGAAAACACATTGAAAAAACATTGAAAAACATTGAAAAAACATTGAAAAAACATTGAAAAAACATTGAAAAAACATTGAAAAAACATTGAAAAAACATTGAAAAAACATTGGAAAAACATTGAAAAAACATTGAAAAACCATTGAAAAAACATTGAAAAAACATTGAAAAAAACATTGAAAAAACATTGAAAAACATTGAAAACACATTGAAAAAACATTGAAAAACATTGAAAACACATTGAAAAAACATTGAAAAAGCATTGAAAAAACATTGAAAAAACATTGAAAAAGCATTGAAAAAACATTGAAAAAACATTGAAAAAACATTGAAAAACATTGAAAAACATTGAAAAAACATTGAAAAAACATCGAAAAAACATTGAAAAAACATTGAAAAACCATCCCCATACTTCACGTTTCATTAACTCTGCGGCATGCAGCGGCCTTTTGTCTTCTGCACTTATTGCAGCTGGTTTGGTCGGGCCATTTCAATCACCACTGCCGATGCTCCAGGAGCCAGAATTTTAGATGCTACCATTGCTACAATATTGCTACACTTCACATGGCAGTGTGTCAAAACCCATGGAATCCCCTGTAGTTCACATCAAAATAGCTGGGCTTTATGGATGTTCATCCCCCTAAAAATGGTATTAATAGGTATTGATCCATAGCCACATCAAAAAATGTGTCTGAACTCATTGCTGACCAATCAGATGGTTTTCGATGTCGAAATCCCACGGCAGCGCTGAAACAGCATCATCCAGCTCTCTACTCCTTAGCCAAGTGGCGGAAAAAATCCTTGCCTCTTCACCTGTTACGCGAACGAAAAGTCTCACTGAACCAAGCGAGACAAAAACGCGAGAGCAAGCGAGAGCAAGCGCGACACCATGAACATGACCGTGAAATTGGAGAACTGCCTGCGAATGACAAGCTAGCAATGCCATTGAGGTTCATAGTGAAAAAAACAGCACGAAATTGGGACTACATCCGCTGCTCTCAGCAGCGGAATTGGGACTACATCCGCTGCTTGCGCGGCGTTTTGCCGAGACAAAAGAGAGTCACAGGCGCGAGCGCGTGGCATCCAGCTACCACAGCCATCCCCGACCCTGAGATATCGACTGAGACATCTGCAACAGGAAAGTGCCGCGAAACAATTATACGTATATATATGTATATACGTATATATTAGAGGAAACATATGATGATTATGATTATGATAAACTATGACATATGAC